CTATCAATGTATCAATTACACACATTTTGAGCATCAATTATCTTGAATATCTTGAATATTTGCCACTTTTTTTACAATAAAATAAAGAGCACAGAACCAGGACATCGGTGCACTAAACCAGGACATTTGTTCTCATCATCAGCACACTATTTTTTTATCCTGCGGTACACTAAGCAACTATCTGCAAACTGCCTGACTTTTCATGTTTCTAGCAAAGGAAGGTCGTTGATATATACCAATACGAAAAGAGGACCTATGACTATCCATTGAGGTACTCCGTATGTTACTGTTGATGTTGAGGATGTCTCTCCTCAGGTCAAGAAGGCAAGTTGATTTCTTTTCGATAGGGGGTTGGCTATCTTCTTAAGATGATCCCTTATTAATAACCATGCCAATATGTAATAGAACAACACAAAGAAACAATTAATTTATTTGTCATTCACGGCGCCCAAAATGGGCAGAATAATTACAATATAATTTTTCGAACATAATATATAAGTAAAATAAAAATAGGTTGAACACATTATAACATGATTTAGTTTTTATTTAATTGATAAACATCTAATATCTTAGACTACTATATATACTATTATAGCAGTCTCAGCTAGTATCAAAGTAAATGAAATTAAGTAATTTGTAATAATAAAAATAGATCATGGTAGACATGGTACAAGTTGCATTTGCTAGTACTGAGACAGATATATATATATATTTTAGTCAAGTAATATTTGACTATATGATTGTGTAATGAAGTACATGGAGGACAGTTGTGATATATATGTACTTAGGAATACGTTGAGAGGGGCGGATCCAGTCATTTATAAAGGGTGGGTTCCTAACCCAGGATAAAAGGGGGGAGGGGTTCCAACTATATGTCCCCATTCAAATGCATTGATCGTCAAAGAAAAGGGGGGTTCCAACCCCCGGAACCCCTCCTTCTGAATCCGCAACTGTTTGATATAGGGAAGTTAATAGATATACAGTCAATTGTTATATACATAGTGGTAGCTGATGTATTGAATGGAGAGACATATGAGGCGCCGTTTTACTATTTATTACCTATTTTCTGGTATCAAAAAATGATTTTCTGATATCAAAAATTCTATTTTTTATATCAGAAATTCGAATTTTTGATATCAGAAAATATTTTTGATTTTTTGATAACAAGAAATAGATTTTGTGATATAAAAAAATGATTTTGTGATATCAAGAATTCGAATTCCTGATATCAAAAAATTATTTTTTGATATCAGAAAATAAGAAATAAATGAATGATGGCTCCCTGTGTGTCATTTAAAACATTCAGGCTCACCAATGAGGCAAAACATCAGGAAATATCTGAAATAATGTTCCCGGTAGACCAATTGTTTTATAGTGTGGAGTACCACTATACACGGTATTGGTCATTATATTGATGACATTGTGTCCCTTGTTACAAAAACAAAATGCTTATACACTTCAAGTTTTATAAACATGAATAAGACTTCAAAGTCTCCGGAAAACTGCTATTTAATAACAATATTAGAAGCAAAAAAAAAATATTTACACTTATCTTCAGTTTGATCAAACTTATTACGAAATTCAAGACCCATGCACTAAAAGACAATATATGGAAGATTTTTTAAAATCATTCCTAAATAAAACATATTTACTCTTGTGTCGTACAATCTGAATTGGCCGGATATGTCGACCTAAGAATTTACTACATCTGGAAAATGTTTTCAAGATTTAGTTACGATGGCTCGATAATATATTCAGATTTAACTGGCGATATACACGATCTTTTCGCCTTATATATCTAATACAATGCATAAACAAGTCTAAATTGAAAACAACGTTCAAACCTATGATTGCGTTGGATAAAAACCGCAATTTTTATACGTGTGCATGCAAAACAAATTTCTTGGTAGAGGGGTCTAAATACAGCAAAAACAACATTTTCCAAAAGATAAAAAAAGTGAAAAAGTATATTTTAACAAAACGCATTTGACTAACAGGTCGAACAACGGACGTTCTTAAACCCTGCTGACTGTCATTGGCGATTGCCAAATAAACGGATTACAAGATGTAACAAAATTGATCTAAATTATTAATTTAATACCAAACAGAAAACAATAAACTTGCGGAAAAGATGGTATACCGCAAACATGAGGTGCAAAAATTTGTACACCATATCCGGATTTCGACAATTAATGTCTCTCCAGTGATGTTAGGAATCGAAACGGTACTTGGAAGATCATATAATTTACCTCAATTTAGGATAGACTCTTGAATTTTGAAGAGTCGAAATATATACCCTACTAAATTGTACTTACCACTTTTCTCAAAATGAAGTGAAAATTTCTTGACAATCCTTTCAATATAAAGACAAACTTTTCCAAAATGAAGGTATTTTAGAGATGAAAACGTACATCCAACCTACTGAAACGTTTCATTACTTCACAGAAAAAGCTCATATGTATTTAAAAGATTTATGGAAGACGTGTTTCATAAGAAATACTAGCAGTCTCGTAAAAAAACGAAATAGACAAATCTTTTGAAAATACAAGACAAGTTTTTTTTTATATTGTTGTTGGCTTTGAACTAGTTGTCACTATCACATCTGTAATTTGTGTCTTTTTGTTGTTGTTACCCTGCCACGTTTGTTCTTACACTATTATGTAATATAACATCAGTGTCCCAAGTTAGGGGGATAGTTGAGCGCTCAAACATGTTTAATCCCGCCACATTCTTTATGTGTCTGTTCCAAGTCCGGAGCCTGCAGTTTAGTGCATTGTCTTGGTTCATGGAATTGAGAATGGAAATGGGGGGAATATGTCAAAGAGAAAACAACCCGATCAAAGAGCAGACAACAGCCGAAGGCCACCAATATGGGTCTTCAACGCAGCGAGAAAATCCCGCACCCGGAGGTGGTCCTCAGCTGGACCCTAAATAAAATTGTGTACTAGTTCAGTGAAAATGGACGTCACACTAAACTCCAAAACATATCAATGAACTAAAATTAAAAAACATACAAGACTAACAAAGGCAAGAGGCTCCTGACTTGGGACAGGCGAAAAAATGCGGCGGGGTTAGACATGTTTTGTGAGATCTCAATCCCCCCTATACCTCTAGCCAATGTAGAATGAAGAAAAACATAGCAATACGCACAGTAAAACTCAGTTTAAAAGAAGTCCGAGTCCGATGTCAGAATAGGTAACAAAATAAACTAAGCAAAATGATAAACTAAGCAAAATGACAATGATACATAAATGAACAAAGGACTACTAGCAGTTACTGACATGCCAGCTCCAGAACTCAATTAAACTGATTGAAAGATTATGTCTTCATCATAAGAAAATCAAGTACAATCCCTCCCGTTAGGAGTTTAGTATCATACCATCATAAAATATACGAGAAGAACATAAACCGTATCATGCCAACAACTGTTTTTAGAATAAATGTGTTTATTTCCGATGCAAAGACCCTATGAGTGAATCAATATTAATACCAAAATATGCAATCATTAATGACTAATTGACAACAGTATCGTAACTACCGGTATATCTTTTCCGAATAAGTCTGTTTAAAGGTTTGGTTAGATTTTGAGGTGAATGCCGACATTTTTGTGCTTTGTAAAGAATATTTCCATAAAATATTGGATGTGAAATACCTGAACGTGTAAGAAGTCTGCATGTTGATTTATATTTACGAATGATGTCTGCCATATTTGTTTTACGTAAATTGTTTTGTTATAAATCATTAGGCCTTTAGCTTTCTAAATTGAGTTGTTTATTTCTTTTTCATATTGGGGCCTTTTATAGGCGACTATATGGTATGGGGTTTTCTCATTGTTGAAGGCCGTACGGTTGCTTATAATTGCTTACATCAACTTCATTTGAACTTTGGTGGCTAGTTGTCTCATGGGCTAACATATCACATCTCCTTATTTTTAAACTTAACAGAACTAACTTACTTACTAAATCCTCAACATAAACAACGGGAAAAAAATATAAAAACAGGATGAACAAAACACTGGGGCTTGATATTTGCAAAAAACCTGACTGCACAAATCTGTTTCAGAGGAAACCAATAATTGCTTATAAAAGAAGCGAGAACTTACAATTGTTGACTATAAACCTTAAAATAATAAATATGTGAAACACAAAAAACACAAAACTTCTTATATTAAGACTAATGAAGCCGAACTCTGATATATGCTTTCGTATATATTACACGATCGAAACACCAGACTTAATGTAAGGGCTCAGGCATTGGTGAACGTTGATGCTTTTATTGACACACAGGGAGCAATCGTTGATATTTTTCTTATTTTCTGATATCATTTTTTGATATCAGGAATTCGAATTTTTGATATCAAAAAATCATTTTTTGATATCAGAAAATTTATTTCTTGATATCAAAATATCGTCAGTAATATTTGATATTAGAAAATCTATTTTTTGATCTCAGAAAATGGATTTCTTGATATCAAAAAATGATTTTTTGATATAAAAAAATCGAATTTCTGATATCAAGAAATAAAGATTATTTTCTGATATCAAGAAATCGAATTCCTGATATCAAGAAATATTTTTTGATATCAGAAAATAAGAAATAAATAGTAAAACGGCGCCTCATAGAAAATTACAGATATTTGATAGTGTCAGACCACGGTTTTACTATCGTAATCTAAAAGTGAATCAGGAACATTTTAGATTTTATACTATTAGAAACTTCGGAGTAAAACGAAGAAACAAAGTGAATAACTTTTATTATCTTCCGTGTACTATAAGCCCATCGTCTTTTAAATATCATGCAAGTAAGTGATTTTAACTATTTTCGACCGTGTAACATAGGCCCACTGTGAATAATCAAGCAATTGATGTGCTCCTAACCACAGGAGTAAGTTACAGAAAGAAGAAGAAGTTATTAGCTCTGGGAAAATTTCTCATAATCATTTCATATTTTTATAATTTTCCGGAACGTGTACCTAAAATGGTTTGTTATTAAGTGGGCCATGGGGGATAACTGACGGCCCAAAATGAAAATGACAGATGCCGAAAATTTCTTTTCGAAAGCTTTGCGACAGTTTGCCCGAGCAACTGCAGCTTCAAATCCAGCTCCAATTGAAAAGGTATGCACATTTATGTAAAGCAAATTGGTTCTCTTACTATATTTTTCTTGTTGATATAATTTACTTTGAAAAAATAGTAACTGTGTCTGTAAATCCTGTTTGATCTGAAACCACAGGCACTTGTTGAAACGTATTATTTCCTCTAAAACAAAAAATAATCAAAATCCCTTTTCTGAATTTGGACTTGCAATTTTAATGCAGACATAATTTAGAAATACAGCTGAATATTATAATAATGCATAATGCATAGTAATTATCCCCTTAAATTGTTAATCATGATACAATGTTAGGATGAATTATAATATAAGATCATCTGTCATGATCTGAATGAATCGGGACAACTTGTATAGATTTATAGATTTATACATCAACTTGAACTGTTAATAAGTCAACTCCCACTGTCTAAAATGTCAACACAGACAAAGTTTAAAAAGAGAATTTAGGACTTCAGTGTTTTCCATATGAACCAGCCGCCGGCCAAATTGACCGTTTCAAACAGTTTTTTGGTCGGTTCAATCGTCATCAGCAAAAATAAATATGGGTGCATATTTTATTTATTGGATTATTTTGAGAGTGAGCCATGTGATGAATGATGAAACTTTCAATTACATATTTTTCCCCCACTGAGCGACACAAAGTGTGCAATTTTACGATAATATATTGATAACATTTGCATGCATGAGTTTGATTGTTTTTCAATTTGTTTTGTTGTGTTCAGTTTAATTCGCGTATGAATCAGTGGCATGATAATTGACTTGCTTGACATTTCGAATAGATTCACCAAGGCCTGAAAACTTCAAACTTTTAAATAAGTGCAGACATAATTTTTAGAAAAAAGTACTTCTAATAATATGTTCATTTGACAAGCATGAAATCTTGTCTTAGAATTCACCAGATGCCACGACTATGAGTCTAGATGTCAAAACTTTTTCAGGGGGAAAATTTTCTGTGACCGCCTACTTAACCTGTAAGGCCAAAATGAATGGAAAACCCTGGGACTTCATGTATTTAAATTATTCAATGTTATATTTCACCTAAAAATGTCAGATGCAGATTTTATATTTTATTAGATTACTTTTTATACGAATGTTTTAAGCTGTAATTCATGGATACTACAAAATGTATTTAATGCTATAAAATTGAATGATAAATTATTTATTTTATTATCAAGACTATAAGGACCCCATTGGAAATAAGCTTGTTTGCTTTCATGGGTCATCCTTGGGTTAAGGCATTAGAGGTGCCTATGTCACAACCGTTGCTATATTTTAAGGTTGTATTATGAATTTGTATATATTGGCTGTACCTGAATAAATATTATTATTACTATGCTTGCTGCATTTGCAAATGAAATGAGCCGTCAAAATAATGTGTTAATTGTGAATTCAAATTTCTGCTTCATCTTGCTGATTTTATATTTCAAATAAAATCTTTATTAATTTATTATACAAACTTAATTTATACACAAAAAAAAGGGAAGATTGTGCTGAATTTGTTTTTTTACTTGTTATTATTTTATAATTCAATATTAATCATTAATGCAGCATTATTTTTTTATTTTTACAGACTTGAAGTAAGTCAATAAGTCAGCCTGAACTGTCTATAAAGTTAACTCTGACCATCTATACTGTATTTCAGACAATGAATAAAAAGAGAGCATTTAAAAGACATGAAAGACAGAAAGAAACAAAAAAAATTAGATGGCAACTTACAGTCTTCAACAACAATAAACAATAAACAGAGAAATCATCCCAGTCTAAAATTTGTAAATAAATTCAACCTAAACAGATGTTTCCTTAATTAAGAAAGCAGCATGAAAATGTGATGAGATTAAACTAGTTTATGACATATCTCAACCATCCAAACTTTTTTTTACACTTTGAACAAAAAAAAACTTGTGAAAGATACCAGACTTATTATTTGGTATGTGAGACCTGCTTTTCAGTTTACCTAATATACTGTCAACAAGTCATAAGAGTCAATTTGACCTTTATAGATGATCCAAATTGTCCTCCTAGAAGATTCAAGTTGTAGTTTTTGAATCTTTTCTGGTTAAAATTCATAAAACCTAGAATGAAAATTGTCTTTTCAGGTAGCAAGACTTTTAGATCTGTGTCCAAGGGAGACAACAAAAGGATTTCGTTTTGACAAGCGTGGACAAGATGCAGTAATAGCTCTAGGTATATTCTATCTAGAGTCTGGATTGCAGGTATGGAAATGTACATTATACTTACACTACAAAATTCACTACATCTTGGTGTTTTTAAAAGAGAAAAAATTGTTTCAATTAATTAGCAATTTACATGTACATTACATTTACAGAAAACCAGGTACAAATGCATGAAGCAGCATTTATGCCATATTTTAAAATTTCTTCAGTTATAACTGTATATCTTTTAACAATATCCTGTTGATAAGGATATTTATCATCATGTGATACTTACTTATTTTCTACATAAGAAAATGCCTGTACCAAGTCAGGAATATGACAGTTGTTATCCATTCGTTTGATGTGTTTGTTTTTTTGATTTTGCCATTTGATTGGGGACTTTCCTTTTTGAATTTTCCTCGGAGTTCAGTATTTTTGTGATTTTACTTTTTATTTACTTAGTCCTTGCTATGCCTTATGGCACATAGGACAAGGACAAGTTTCATCATCATGGGATAGTTATACTTTAAAAAAATCAAAATACTAAGCCTACCAAGCCTTTGAAAGAAAATTTAACTATAGAGAATTGATAACGTGCTTAAATTTGTGGCTACAGAGTAAACCAATTGAAAATTGTATTTCTTGAAAACATAATATCACAATTGGTGTTTTGTTGAATCTTGATGTTAATCATGTAAATCGAGCAAATTGTAGTACTTTTACTGTAATCCAGTATGAAGATATGCCAATGACCCACATCAATTATGGTATGCAAAATGGTGTCATAGGAGAGCTGAGCTGATTTATTTACAAACTATGACATACTTTTATTTTCAACACCTTGTTTATGCAGCAGTCTTTTTTTGGTTAACATTTTATTAATTGATTTATAGTTCTTTCTCTAATTATTTGATATTTAAAATTTATTTCAGTATAAAGAGAAGATTTTACCATATTTACTAAATGTTTTGCAAGGTCTAACTAAAGCAAAGTGGGTTGGCATAGAAAAACCTGTACATGGGAGGAGTAAGTACAAAACAGGGTTTTCCAAAATCCGTTTTAAGTTATCCACTAATTGAAAATCCAGCAAATACCTTGAAAATTACTTGAAATCCATCAAAAAAACATTTTAAGTAACCACTAAATGGAAATCCAGCAAAAAACTTTTAGTTATTCATTAAATGGGAATCCAGGGAGTCTTAATGTTTATTGAAAATCCAGTCAAATCTTACTTCATAAATAAAATGATTATTTTATTAAAGCTGAACACTACAATGAAAATTTGATTAGCATGTGTAAATGTGTGTATTTGTTCTAGAATATAGCATTTAACATGTTTAAGAGGATATTCTCACAGAGTATATAGCAAACAAGCTAAGATATAAACAGTACTTGCAAATTTTGAAAAGTGGAATATGAACAATACATTGTTTTACAAGATTCTGAAAAGCATGTGCTGTTTTCCCACGAGTTGTATATAATCCACATTGATTCCAGAATAGTGTTTTGTGTATTACATTACATGCATTAATTTTAGTGAAAAAATATGTGAAACAAACATGACAAATAACGATTCAGATTTGACCTAGTACCGATTTTTCTTCTCAGTGATGTAATTTTATTAGAATACAGGATTAATATCAATGTTAATTCAATGTACATGTATTCTTCTACTAACAAAATGATAACTGTTTGAGTCTTACTTTATTTCTTTATAAATTCATAGTATTTCTCTGCTAACAATATTATTGTTTTTTTAGTTTTACCATCCTCAGAATGTTTTAGTTTCTGTCTCAACACAATACTGAGTGATGTTGCATATGAAGATACAGATGCCAGGGAGCAGGTAACAGATGTTTCATCTAAAGCTAATCATTTAGTCAGTCATTAATTAGTAAATACTGTTTTCTAAAATTAGAGCCGAAGTTTACTGAAGTTATCATGTGACATTTGTACTAACATCCTGGTCTTTTAAGTGATCACATGATCAATTATGGTGTGATTACCTAAAACTATTCAGTGTAAATTAGCATGTGAATTGAATTAATAAATGGAGATAATGGGTATATGTCAATGAGACAGCAATTTTACTCAATGACATAGAAAAACAAGACACCCATATCAATGCATATGTCAGCACACAGCATAGTCAGTAAATTGTCAAAAAACATCTAAAGGACCATAAGAGCTACAGTTCTGAAGCTACAACAATAGATAGGTGTTTATTTATTATTTCAAACTCTCATCTCAATCATTTTTACATCTCATTCTTTACTTGTGATTTGATTTAATTCTTGGTTAAAGTATTGAAAAGATATAGTCATTTTGTTGTATGTATTTATATCTTTTATTTTAGATCATATCATGTCAGCTTGAGGTGTTAGAAGTTATTACAAAACTTTGTGAAGGTAGCAAATATGATATTCCAAAAGGTAACTATGAAAGCATTACGTTGCAATTTTGTTGGCACTTAAAAGAATTGAAATGAATGTATGATTAACATTCTGTATGGATCTGTATGAGCCATGTTCTGCTCAAACTGACCTTCATACAATTCTGTTAAAAATAAGATATATTTCAATTATGAAACAAACAAAAATCTCACAATCATTTTATTAAAATATTAGATAAACATAGCACACAAGCTTCTTTAAGGAATTTCTGCTTCATATGTTGTCATAACAGATTGTTTATCTGAAGATAGCTAATAAATGTGCTTCTAAATCTACAATTTACATTTGAAAAGTATGAAATATGCTTTAATGTTGTTTCTTGCAAAGTGAACCTAGATTAGAAAATTAGTATAGTGTAAAAACCAAAGTGTTTGTAAATGCATGAAATTTGGAATCAGATATTGCCTATCTTCTCTTACCCTTATGCCATTCTAGCAAATTTGCTGGAATTATATTTTGTTGGACCTTTGTTGAATTTTGTCATTTTGCTCCTATGTGTAGGCTGAAGAAATATCACTGCTTAAGTCGATGTCTCTGATTTATCAATTACTAGCCAATAGAGGGGTGCAGGGTCCTCCATACCTCTATTTACAAAACCTTTTATTTATAATGTTGGCATTTCAGTGAATATATCCAAAAGAGGTCAGGACCTTCATTTAAGTAATCGGTACCGTTTACAGTTTTAATATTTACATCTTCTTGGTATATCAGATAATAAAATTCAAGCCTCTCAGAATAAGATAATATTTTTAACTTACCATGATCCCAAATATTCTTTTGTGGTACACACTAAAGAGGACAACAAGGAATATTATACAGTTATTGACTTTTGATGAGGTTGATACAATGATTTATCAACCCCAGAGATATGATATTCACAGAGGCCAATGGCAGAGGGTAAATGTCATATCACTGGGGTTGGTAAATCATTGTATCAACTGATATCAAAAGTAAAACAATTGTTTTATTATATGACTTTTTTTTTATCCATCCCCAATTTTCTAGTATTTTTTTCAAGATATTTAACCGCTCCTTGTTTTTATACTAAATATATTATCTGCTTTGGCAGTTGTTAACTTTAAATAAGTTGAAATATTTGATAAAATTCACTAAAAAGATAATCACCGAAAAAGAAGAAAAAGAAAATTGAGAATTTGCATGACATTTAAACCTAGGTCATTGACGTTGCCTAGGAAAATAACTATTTAGGTTCACGTTAGCTGTTCCAAATCTTTTATTGATTTCTCATGATTTTTCCTGTGGTGAATATAATGTTTTATCAAGGAAGATTCTTTATTCTTTTAGCCAATGAGAAAAGAGAAATGTTATAGTCATATAATAATATACTTTGTCACACAATTTGTAGGGCAGCAGGGGTATTATAATGACCCAACAGGTAATATACTGTGCATCCTTATCTTTGTTGTGCTATATCATAGAAATCAGTTCAAAATTTGTGTTGTTACAAGGTAAACTTTACAACAAAGCATAGAAATGAAATAATGTGGCAAATATATATGGGGAAAACGTAAAATGATGTTTATAATGGAAGAGAGAGATTAAAATAGATTTGAATAAACATTTTCTAATGATTAGCACATGACCAACTTACTTTTTAGTTTTAATAGAAAGCTTTCTTATGGTAGCTTTTGTTGAAGGGCTGCTTTTTATTCATTTTACCCTATATAGAATAGAAGCTAGATATTCAACTGACTGGATATTTACCTAAACCAAGATGATCCTTTTATCCATGGCAATATTTTCATGAATATGCATGAATGCATTTATTTGTCACAGGATGTAAAGCAAAAAATAATCAATCAATAGATACATGTACCTTATTAACTTTTTTGTTTAAAAAAGTCTTGACTGGAAGTATTCCTAAAATTTAGATTTGAAATAACTAATTATTTTTTACTGGTCTGCCTGTACATTTATATCTAGTTTAAACAATTTAATGACCAGGTTGTCAGCAGTTGTCTTATCACTCCATTACTTAAAGGGGCTTAAGCTGTCAAATTCATGTTCACCGATTTGACTCAAATTCTCATATTTGATTTATAACATACTAAAACGTATACCCAAATTATAATAAGTCTGAAATAAACAATTAACAATGCATAGACTTGATAATATATATCAGCATTTCGTGTGTATTTTAGTCTAGACGCCATCAAGATCACCTCCAAAGACTGCCGATGGTCACGTAACCTGATATAAACATAAACATAAATATAAATAGATTGAAATCCACATGCAATTGGATTTTTCTAGGACTGTTTGATTTCATGTTATAGGTTAGAAAAATAAGTTAATCATTGGTTTTACCTGTATAAGAATGATTTTTTGTTGATCTAATCAGTCAACGAAATGGTTCACCTTTGTTTCACACTTTCAATGTTGACATTCTTTTCCATTTAATGGCTGAACACACATAATAAATGCTTAACCAATCTCTAGCTAAGGGGTTTAATTGAAGGTCACATGATTACGGATTCAATGAGGTCGAATTATTCACTTGCAAGTGAATAATTCATCAGCAATGTTTCTTAGCTTGTTTTAACAAAATTGAACTAAACTGGCTGCTAAAAGCGAATTATTATTTCATTATTTCACTTTAATTAATGATTGAACAAAAAAAAAATCAAATTTATTTTTATGCCCCACTTAGGGGCATTATGTTTTTCGGTCTCTGCATCCTTTCGTCTGTCCGTCCGTCTGTTCGTCCATCTGTCCCGCTTCAGGTTAAAGTTTTTGGTCAAGGTAGTTTTTGATGAAGTTGAAGTCCAATCAACTTTAAACTTAGTACACATGTTCCCTATGATATGATCTTTCTTATTTTAATGCTAAATTAGAGTTTTGACCCCAATTCCATGGTCCACTGAACATAGAAAATGATAGTGCGAGGGGGGCATCCGTGTACTATGGACACATTCTTGTTTTTAATATCTCATAGCCAATGCCCCTTTAAAACATGAAAAATTTCACAGAAAATTTGTTTCCATTGTAATACATATACAATATTTCTTAAATAGTGAATAACAAAACTTTTATGCTGAACTATCACAAGTGCAGAAATATAGTAACTCACAAGCAATGGAGCAAGCACTAGTTTCTTTCAAGAAATGTCAGTCTATTTTCTTGTACAATCCTCTGCTTAAAACTATAACAGTGACATAATTGTTCATGAAACTTTTTCAAATAGCAAAATGACATTAAAATGGCAAACCAGTCATGCTTGAAAGCAACAGTAATAATAGAAAACAATTCTCTGAACTGCGTTTAGAGAAAAGTTTAGGACAGTTTTGCTAGCATACAACTGATCAAAACCTTTATCTCAAAATAAATTAATGTGTCTACTTTTAAACATTATACTTCAGTTGATATATGCATGTATGTGGCTGAACTTTTGTTGCATGTCCTTTCTTTTGTTGTATTCAGAAAGTTAACTATATTTAATGTCAAACTGACAGAACTTTAAGCGTAACAATGTTATTAAGCTCATCTCATGACATCTGTCAGTAAACAGTCGGATTCAAATCATGTTTGATGAAAGATATAGCTTACAAGATAATTCATAAATGTTTATAAATTAATGCCAGTCTGCCATTTTTGCCCAGATATTGAAACTGTATAGAAATCAAGATCTGAAATCATTTAGACTGAACTGCATGTTATTTTGACTGACATCGAAAGTCTGGACATCTCTTTTATAAATTTCATGTACCAAAATTTTCAAATTTCTAAAATAGTGATTTATTAAGCTTATATTAAGATATCATTAATATTTTTAATTACCGGTATATCTGGTTACATTCCTCACAGGTTACCTTGTTCATGTTGTTGCTAAAGTTAGATGGTATAAACATGGAAATAGAACAACATATCTTTGTGTTGGAAATTTTAAAAAATGTACAATCCTTGTTTAGATTTTTTAAAATGTTTTTAGCACTGCTGACATTTTTTGTTATTGTTTATTACCGGTATTTTGAAATAAATTTGATTTGTATTTTTTGTTTTTACAGATGTTTTATGTACAGCAACTGTTCCTATTCTCATTGGCATGGCTCGTGCAATTGGAAGATCCTCAGATGATGAAACCTACCTGATTTCCAAATTGTTTCCACCAGAAAACATTGTCAAAGCCCCAACTTCAGTACAAGATGAAACTCCTAAAGAAAAGACATTTAGTAGCTTTAGACCTATCCTGCCTCGTACTTTATCTTCTCATGTCCTTAATCTGGACTCTTCAGGTCCATCAAGTCCTACAATGCATCAGAGTTTTGAAGCTTTGTGTTCAAGGTCAAGAGAAAGGTCACCTACCCCTATGTTGCCACAGAAACAAGAGAAAAAAGAAAACACTGTCGATGACACTGTCCATTATTTTAATAAAATAGGATCAAATTTTACAAGAACAAAACCATGGGGATTTGAAATTATACTTGAACAACCTGAGGAGGAACATTTAAAGTTTTCCAGTGGCCACGTACAAAGACTTGTAGCTATTGTAAGTGTGTTGGTGATATGACAAAAAAAATATTATAGATTTAAAAGTATGTTTTTTTATCTTGCATATATATATGTTCTGGACCATATGAGTATTTGGACCACATGCGTATGATCATGACCATATGCATATATACTCATATGGTCCGGGTAATTAATACGATGAGCGTTGAACAGTAATTGGGTAAGACATAACCCTTCAAGGTGTCATAGATTAAGAATTTTGAAAAATGAAATTTTGACTTGGATAATTATTCGGTAATCATTGTAACATGATTAATGAAATAAAATGAATTTTACTCACAAGTTAAAATTATAGTAGAAGCATTTTTGCATGGTCATTATTAATTAGTTTTTTTTCCGAAACATTTTATGCAAGAAGTCAACTGTTTTACACGTTAGCAATTGGAGCATTGAACCCCCTATTTTCCTTATTTTGGATTTCTTAAACATTTCAAATTAAGAAGTTATTTAATTTGTTCATGCTACTCTTTATACGATTTACAAGAACAATAGTTTATATGCAATGTCCCTCTATTATTATGTAGAAACAACTGTTGTTGTAAGATCATATGAATAAGAGTATGAACACATCAGTTAAGTGAAAATAAGTGGAAATTAGAAAAAATTAAAGAAAATCTAATCTAAATGCAGGGGAAAAGAAAAAAAAAATTGTTCATGCCCCAAACACCTGTGGTTTCACGTACGGACGAACCTGTCGACAGCATAAAGGTGCTTAAAATTGACTCTAGATAGCGAGGGCAGGACAACAAATATACCAAGATTCCAACAATATGTAACAAAGATAAAGGATTTCAGTTAATAACTTGTGCCGATTTTGATTCAGAGAACTAGCTGTGCCTGTTAAGGAAGTATGAATTTATTCGGAAAATACCTATATGATCTAAATTCTCATATGGTCTGGCCCATTAATAACCAAACAAGTACATACTCATTACAATAGGCATACGGTCCAAATGCTCATATGGTCCGGAACATATATATTTCCCAGATGGAGATTTATATAAAAAAAGGAAAGATGGACAAAATTTACAGAAATGATAAATTTCATTGTTGCAAGCTGCTAATATTTGAGACTGAATGTTAAAGATCTACCCCATTTTCCATATAGAAGGTAAATGTGTAAAAATATATTCACTATTATGTTAGTTCCTGAGTTTGTAAAAGCTGTGTCAAGACTTAGTACATATATTCAATTTATAAAAATGATAATCCTGTTGATTCGAAAAATTTTATAACATTCAAATTATTATTGGATTTTGATTATTTACTGTAATAATTGTATGCTAAAAGAACATTACAAATTGTCGGCATTCCTATGGGGACGAACTGTGCGCCTCTCCTTGCCGACCTCTTCTTATTTTCATATGAGTAGGAGTTCCTTCAAACACTTGTCAAAAACAAGAAGATCAAAGAAGCCAGATCATTTAATTTCACATTCAGATAATAAAATCACATATTGATGATGTTCTTTCCATTAACAAATCCAAACTTTTCTGATTGGGTTCCGGTATATCCCCCAGAACTAGAAATTAAAGAAACAACAGACATGGCTTCCTGTGCCTCATTTTTAGACTTATACCTTGAATTTGACATAAGCGGTCATCTCAGCACCAGAATCTATGACAAACGAGACGATTTTAATTTTGAAATTATAAATTTCCCCCACCTTAGCAGCAATATATACCAACTTCACCTGCATATGGGATATACATTTCCCAACTCATTCGGTATTCAAGAGCTTGCCGCTGCTACTCAGACTTTATAAAACGGTCTTGTCCTTTTTCTAAAAAAGTTTATCGGAAGATACCAAGACCTTGTTGATAAATATTCCGTATCAACTTCACAAAAATACATGATGGTCTTGGAGTATAGTGACATAATTTATCATCTTATTTACGTGTTATAGTGGTGTCTTTATTTGTTCTTGTATATTTTTTAACCTTTACTGTTAAGTCCATGTTTAGTAATATCCTTTTGGCTCGGCTGGTACTTATACATCCCGCCATTGTGTTATTGTGCTGTGGTAAATTTTGTATTCTTGTCTTTCATTTTTCCTTATGTACTTAAATGTCTATAGAGTGTCTTTATGTCTATTTGTTTTTCTTTGTTGAAAAAGTTATTTGTTTTTAAAGTGATGAAGATTATATTACAATGTTGACTGCTGCACCCAATTTTTGACATTTTTACCTATTATGTCTGTTTGTTGTGCTCACACATTGTTGTCAATATGATGGAATTATGTGCTACTGTCATACATGTGAGGGGTTGAACTAGCTATAAAACCAGGTTTAATCTACCATTTTCTACATGAGGAAATGCCTGTACCAAGTCAGGAATATGGCATTTGTTTTCCATTTGTTTGATGTGTTTGAGCTTTTGATTTTGCCTTTTGATAAGGGACTATCCGTTTTGAATTTTCCTTGGAGTTTGGTATTTTTGTTATTTTACTTTTTACATACATTCTCATTACATTTTTATTTATTTATTTCAGACAAAGGGTATTCTGACAAAAGATATTCTAGGTCGACTTGACTCATTATTAACAGATTTATTTGCAGAATATTCGGTAGGTATAGTAACGGTTTTCTAGCATTTGAGATTTTCTTGTACCTCAGGAAATGTGAATTTTTTTTGTATGATAGAAAAATAGCATATTTTTTTTATAACTAAAATTGAATTGCTGATAACAGAGATTTTATTCAGAATGCAAAAGATATTCTGTTACAACAAAAAATGTTTTAAAAAATAATTGAAATCTTGTTCTTGCAGCATGACAATGGTTACAGTTGGTTTCCATATAAATCATTCAGTGAGAGTGTTACCTTGGTGATTGTTACCATGTTGAGAGACGTTTTAGAGCAGGAAATGGGTAAGTTACTATGGTTATATTTTAATTTCATGGTAGAGCAATGATTGAGTTATAAAACTTCATCTCAATCAATTTGTTCAGTAGTAAGTTTTCAGTACAGTAATTTTAGCTTTTCAGGGATTATGCCCCTTGACAAATTGAAATTCCCTAAATTGATGATTTGTGATTTTTTTTTTATTGAGTCAATCCCTTAAAAAAGGCACTTTCTGCTCAAGATTCTTTCAAAAGAACAATCATAAAATTAAATGTAGATTGGAAATTTGACAGCTTTTGCTTGCCATTGTTGTTAGTCTTCGTTCATGCCTGTACTTCACCATAATAAAGATAAAATGTGTGTTCAGAAAAAGAAACAAATTTTACATATAAGAAACATTAAATGTTTATAATTTCAGATTTGCCAGTGAGTTTTACAACAGAAGTACAAGACTTTGTCAAAGATTTATATAGTAGTGGCCAGATAGAGATGACAAAGAAACACTATAGTCATAGAGATTTAGACAAAGATTTCAATCCATATGAACTAACGGTCTCTTGTTCAGCAGCTTGTGTAGATATTCTGTTCTGGGCTGTCAGAGGCGAATCAGGTATTAACATATTGTAAAGATATTAAATAGGAAAAAAATCATGAAAATATTCCCATTGGTAAATTTGATATTTAAGGATTAAATATAAGAATCAAAGACTAGAAAATGCAAGAATGTAACCTTACGAACATGTTTGGCCTTTTAAATCATGACAATTAGTTGCTGCAAAAATAAACCACTTAATAGTATACAGGCATTGAATTAAAGGAGATTTTGGTAAGGTCAAAGAGACAGCTACCCAACAATTTAAATATGAAAAATTAATAGACTCATTGTATGCATCAATGAGACAGCAACCCAATGACAGAAAAAAAGCAAAAAGACATCTAGAGGACAATTTACAGGTTTCATCAATAGGTAATACAAAATGGCAAGATTTCATACTTTCTCTTATCTGCAACATCTCATAAACTACACAAAAGTAGCTGACTTAATTAAGATAATATTAAATGTAGTGTTGTACCTTCGTTGTTTTCAAAGATGTTGGTTTTTGTGAGTTTCCAAAGCAAAATTAGGACTTTTGCATGGTTCATTATTGGATATATGACTATTATATGCAACTCTTTTCTTAGATTATATGGGATAAGTTGCATTTTTTTAACCTTGATTTAAAGGATTTTTTCACCAACACAGAAACAACACTGAAAAATGAAGCTGTAACATGCAACTCAGTTTTTTTTGGATTTTTGATTTTGTGGTTTTGCCAATATCTATAGGAAATTTGTAATTTCAGTGAACATTTTAATTTGTGGTTCATCTGTACACACGAAACTGACTGAAATTGATATCTAACTTTAATGGTGAATCCACAGTAGAAAGTAAAATAGTTTTTGATTTAATCATTTGTTTTGAATATCAGAGGCAGAAAACCTATGTATAAAACTAACAGAGAAGATCAGTACCAACACAGATAGGAAGTTTCTGCTGGCTCATACACCATTACTGCTTGTAGCTTTGGAGGTATGTTAAAAATCAAATAGTCAAAAAATCCACATGGAAAATGACTACCATGAAGGACTTACATGACAGTTTCAGTTGGTCCCTTGCTAGATCATCACACAGTGCAACCAGCTTTATTATTAAATATTTCTGAGATGATCAAGAATGATTGTGTGCATATATCAGTTATCAATTATCAATGGTGAAATATTGGTATAGAAGAAAAAAATATGGAACATGTTTTACTATATGATACCAAAATGTTTAACAAAAACATGTCTACTGATAATATCGACTGCTGTTATTCATCCATACATTATGAATATTCAAAATTCAGTTTTTTTTCAAGTCGGTTAAGGAAAAACTTCATGAAAAAAATGTGAATTAACGTACTTAATAACGATGAATATTGTAACGATTTTATGGTTCTTGGCCTGCCTGGAATAAAATGTACATGATTTACATAAGATGAAGAAATGTATGTAGGTTTATAACATATGAACATTTAATAATGAAAAATTATTACACCGGGGTTTTCGATATCACAAACTAGTCAAAACATTTACTAAATTTATCATCGGTACAAGGACATCATTCGTAAATATAAATCAACATGCAGACATCTTATACGTTCAGGTATTTCACATCCAATATGTTATGGTAATATTCTTTACAAAGCACAAAAATATCAGCATTCACCTCAAAAGCTAACCAAACCTTTAAACAGACTTATTCGGAAAGGATATAGTTACGATACTGTTGTCAAGTCATTAAAGATTACATATTTTGGTATTAATATTGATTCACTCATAGGGTCTTTGCATCGGAAATAAACACATTTATTCTAAAACCAGTTGTTGGCATGATACGGGTTATGTTCTTCTCATATATTTTATGATGGTATGATACTAAACCCCTAGCGGGAGGGATTGTACTTGATTTTCATATGATGAAGACATAATCTTTCAATCAGTTTAATTGAGATCTGGAACTGGCATGTCAGTAACTGCTAGTAGTCCTTTGTTCATTTATGTATCATTGTCATTTTGCTTAGTTTCTTTTGTTACCTATTCTGACATCGGACTCAGACTTCTTTTAAACCGAGTTTTACTGTGCGTATTGCTATGTGTTTCTTTATTCTACATTGGCTAGAGGTATAGGGGGAGGGTTGAGATCTCACAAAACATGTTTTACCCCGCCACATTTTTGCGCCTGTCCCAAGTCAGGAGCCTCTGGCCTTTGTTAGTCTAGTATGTTTTTTAATTTAATTCATTTATATGTTTTGGAGTTTAGTGTGACGTCCATTTTCACTGAACTAGCACACAATTTTAGTTATCGGCCAACTGAGGACCACCTCTGGGTGCGGGATTTTCTCGCTGCATTGAAGACCTATTGGTGGCCTTCGGATGTTGTCTGCTCTTTGGTCGGGTTGTTGTCTCTTTGACATATTCCCCCATTTCCATTCTCAATTTTATTTAATATTTTAAAAATTTCAAAATCATAGTGTATTGTTTTATGTGTATAAATCAAGGGCCTTTAATTGAAACAATAAATATTCTATTCTATATGATATGGTTACTGTTCACAGAAATAAAATACTTTTGGTAAGTTTCAAAACTTTATTCTGCTGGTACATTGGCAAAAAAAATAAATATCGGTAACCCTGGACAAAACAATTAAATTAAAGTTTGTTTTTTTTTTTTTTATTCAACAATATGTTGCATGCTGTTAACAATTTACTTCAATAGTTCAGCATTCTAGTTAAGGATCCCTTTATTTTTTTACTAGAAATCTAGGGTTAATCTCTGGTATTCATTATTATATTACATAACATCTAAACTAAATCATAATATATCAATTTCAATCATGAAATAAACAAGTATATATGAAAATTCTTATTTATCGATATGTATTATCTAGCTTGTTTGGTAAAAATAGATTCCGAAAAAAGTTTTAACTTTCCGTTATCAATTTACTAGTATTGTTTTGAAATGTCTTCCTGGTTAGGAAATTACCAGTTCTAATATTGATTTAAAATATGATTATGAGCTATTCACAGGTATGTCTAAATTAAAAGTTCAAAATAGTAATCTCGATTCTTTAATAAATATAGTATGTAAATATATTCTTTTTTTTAACGATAAAATACTGAGGATAAAGAGTACCGTTATCAATCCACGCTTGTCGGTGATAAAGTTTGTAAGAGGAAGGTACTATTTTTGGTTGGATCCTAGTTATTGCAGTCTACACCAAAATCTTTTCCAACTACTTGTTTGAAGACCAATATTCAGACATTTTCCCTATGTGTCTTTAACAAATTTTGCAAAAATTTACTAGTCTGAATAAAATTTTACTAGTCTGGGGCATTGGACTAGTGCCTTACGGTGCAGGCTGTTATTGTGGAGTAAACGGAAATGTAAAACCACAAAGCTTAGCAACAATGAAATATATACCGTTAGGTACCTTTATTCAAACTTCCTTTTCACTTTTGTTTTGTTGTATATATGACAGGCACTAGGAAAGCTAGCAGTAAAGTTTCCAGTATTGGCATCCAGTATGTGTACATCTCTACGAGAATTTCTGGTAACACCGTCACCAATACTAAGTAAACTGAACAAATATGCCACATCACATGGCCGCAGCAGTATCAAAATAACTGTTACAGACAGCACCAACTCACCACTATCTGGCAAGAACAAACCTTCAAATAAATTACTCAAGTCATTGGAAAACTTACGGGACTGTGCAATTATGAATATCTGCAAGTAAGTGTTTGACATTTTAAGTATTTGCATTAGTAAGAAAACAAACTTGTGAAAAATAATTTTAGGATAATGACAGAATTATATGAAGTGTGAATAAAAAAATCTGTATCTACAGTAATTACATGAATAAGACTGGTGATTAATTAACAAATATATACACTTCTACAGCAATTAAACCTACTTGGATACGAGTCATTCATTTATTCACATGTCACACTATTACCTGTGTAAATATACACAAAAAGCTGTTGCCATGGGAATTGCCTCCCTGTATGTAATTATATTAATTTGCAAGCATTTATTATTGCTATTATTGAGCAATGTACAAAAATGTGATATCAATTTTTATGGTCTCAGGAAATGCTGGATACAAATAATGCTATCAAAATGTAAAATGTTAGTTTTTATTTTTACCAAACCTATCCCATTGCAATTTCGTAATTATAAAAAAATTGCAAAACTTTCTAAATTTACAGCAGATATGTGACAATATCCTAAATATATAAAGTAAAGGCAAATAGCTGAAAAGCCATGCATAAAACAATTTATGTAAACTTTAATTACTCTTTGTCAAAATTGTAAGATGATCCCTTTATAAATTTTATTATGAATTGCAGATGTTTGAAAGCTGGACTTAGACAGGACCCTGAATGTGTCCAGGCTTTCCTAGCATCAGTATCCAACAGGCTGTATAGAGCAGAACTGTCAGACAGGTATTATTACAATATACAATTTTGTGTTGTGTCATATTTAATTTGAACAATCAAGTCTATAAGTCTGGGGTGACCATTGCTTATTCCCCTTTTAGTTGTGAGAGGAAGGGCTTTTACCTTACAAACACAATGCTTTTAACTGAACCCTTGTAACTGTTAGACATTTTTCTTGTAGCTAGTCAATTCAACTTGAAATCTATGGAGAGCCTTAATAATATTTATGTGGTTAGCTTCAGGTGACTAACCATATATCTACATGAGTTATGGATCTCAAACATTTAACATTTCTATAATTAGTTCTTATAAAATTGAAATTGAATTGACCAGATGCAAGAATTTTGTTAACACACAAATGGTTTATTGGAAATATGTAGTATTTGTGTGGTTGTATTTGAAATGAATAAAACACATCTATTTGTTCTTCAATATCAGAACATTAAGAACACTGAATTGAATACTTAGTCTTATTTTGTTGAAAGTGTTATATAAGTGACATATAATTAAATTTTTTCGCATGATGCTTAAGAATCAAAACTTAGAAAGAGTGAGCAGAACAGAGAACACAATTTCAAATGCAGGTGAAGTGGGAAATTTTTGCTTTCACGAAAAACACAAAATGAAAACATAATGTCACGAGCAGGTTTGGTCCAAAATTAAAATTTTATGAAAATAAACTACTCAACAGTATGTGAATACACTGATATTTTTTCTTAGATTTAACAGTCAATATTATTTATTTTTCCACTTGATATATAATCTGTAGGCTATTTAGGTACATTGTTGGGTAAGATGATAACTTGATACACTGAACAAAACATGGTGGCTTTTTCCAGCATTATATCTACCTACATACTTAGCTGCAATGAACCTTTTCCAAAAACACTTTTCCCTGTTATTTACCTTTGATAAACACCAACTTGACAAGCCTTCTGTAAAATCAAGTTCAGGTAGGAAAACATAGCATGGAGTATATCAAGGAAATTATATCAAGGAGACATTGTAATAATTTGTAAAGGCTCTTTAACGATAGACACATTTTGGTATTCTGGATTGATGGTGTTCACAGGACTACTTTTGTAAACAATGTAAGCAACATTGCAGCTGGAAATCATATTACTCACAAAAGATGTAAACAATGTTCAATCGATGATTGATGAAAAAGACAATTCAAAGAATTATATTAATAAACTTGATTGATTATTCCAGAGTTTATTGGTTGATAAACAGGAGCAATTCACTTATAAACTCATAGAAAATTGAGTCAGTTTACACATCATTTATTATCTGTATTAATGATAGGGGTCTGTTATTGTTGTCCATGTCCATTTATGAACACTTTGTTTTCTGTATGAACATTTTTCACATATTAAGAAAAATCTTCAATTTGTTCTTCTTTACTAGATATAGATATTATATTACTTTTCACAGTTATATATATAAATGTTGTCTCGCAAATTAATTGTCTAGTCAATTATCTTTCTTGTTACAGAATATGTAGGTAATAATTTATTTGATGAATGTCTTTTAAAATATGGAGTAAAAAGTGCCTAAAAAGCTTGCTTAGCCGTCCTGGGAAATTCTAAATCAAACTAGTCTACTGTGTAAAGGTAACAAGTAGGAGGTTGAATATTTAATATATTGTTTGATGTCATACAACCAGATTATTGATTTGGATCTTTGTGGTAAATCACTTGTTGTCAGTTGAGACTCTCTTGTAGAAGTCTGTTAAAAAAAAGCTAATACAATATGCTACACAGTATTTATGAAGTATCTGATTTAAGTCGTTGCTTTATTAATTACTTAGTTTAAACAACAGACCAATTTTACCTAAATTTTTAACATAGTTTAAAGGTGTTGATTGCATGCATGTGTCAGGTTCTAAGCTTTGCATGATTTTACCTTAATAACATGTATAATTACTTCAGTAGGAAGAATGGAAAGTCACCAGAAGAAAGGTGGAACCAGTTGAAGCTTGTCATGAAATTTATCCGTCCCACATCGCAAGACTTTCAACCCAGCGATGTCGAGAGGCAAATCTCATTTGATAATCACGACTAATTGCTTATCTTAACACAAGCTTTCATAATAACATATCACTCATAGCATTTTAGTTGTTTTGAACAAGTTACACAGTAGTCTTGCAGAATTTGCTGAGCTATTGCCAGTATATCACCATTTTATGTATTTTCACTGTTGTTTTTCTTTCACACCTGTAATGAGATTGATTTTCAGGCTTTGTTTTTTTTGTGTGCAATATCACGGAACAATACTTAAACAGGGCAATATATTATTTGGAAGAAAATGAATTAGATTTTATATGTTAGTGTTCTAATACAGTAAAGAGGGAGTGTCTTATTAAACCAAAAAAGGGGAAAAATCGCATAATCAAAATAAGATAGTGAAAATTTAATGTGGTATCATGAAGAAAACTTTTTCATTTAAGCTTAAGCCTTCAGTAACTCCTACTTAATAAAATGTATCAGTAAATTTTTGTTTAATTGAATACAGTTATATTTTTTTCAATGGACATGCCCTTGATCTGAGGAGTAAATAAGATAGACCTCCTCCCTTAAAATTTTATTACTTAAAATCTTGCTTCTCAAAGTGAACAGAGTGTTATAATATAAGTTGTAAAGCAATCATTTCTGGTAGGATCATACATACACTATAACTGAACCACCATATTTATTTTATATTTAGACCTGAAAATCACTTCTCTTTGTCAATTTTCTGATGCATTTATAGGTGATATTTTATCTTTCTTGCTATTGCTTGAACCTTGCTTTGCCTTCATATCCTATTTATTATTTAATTATTTATTTAAGTTTGCTGGTGTGTATACAGTTTTTTGAATGTTGTATAATATTATTTTGGAATGAGTTTTCGTTAGTATATTTTCAGCCTTTCATTAACAGTGTGAATATTTTGTACTGTTTAGATGGAATTAATTGTGAAGCTTATCCCCATCTTTACTCAACCCCTCATAGTTTAATTCTTTGTATGATTCCGTTCATATTTTCCCTTAATTTTAAGGAATACTCTTCGTACATTTAATTTTTGGAGACAATTTTTCGGTTATCCATGTAAAAATTGTATTGTCATGGATACTTGATTTCCTGGTTTTGACAAATTCTGCATACAAGCCCATAGAAAACATATTTTAGTGAACATTTTTAATTGTGACTCACATCTATCCTTGATCCACTGTAAATCAACTAATACAATACCAGTATATGGTAATATCAAATTTATATCTACATAAAATATGAATACTTTTTTTATCTGTTCTGGATTCATTACATTTCATTTGATACCATTTTTTAAGTGTATAGGAAAGTGATAAGCCTTGTTAGCTGTTAAGTGTACTTTTTCAATGACTTTGACTTATCACCAATGTGTTAGTAGGGTATAAAATGCAGACAGGAGAAATCTTTTTGTATAACATGTACCGTATATACATACACAGCCATGTATGATTGGAATAGGGAGTTATATCTGATTCTGTAGGTTAGGAGACTGTCATACTCTCTGCAAGTTACAAAACCTTGGCGCAGCTTTTCATAAGGTGTTCAAAGGTAACCTCTTGCATGATAAAGTTTCTGACTATCCCAAACATGCCTTTATTGTCTAGTTGCAGCCAAAATTGTCTACCTTTTGTCAATCCAACAACTTTTCAGACCTTTCTTATTGATTTATTGTTTAATTTATTCTTGTCCTAATGTAATATTTGCCACTTGACATTAAGTAACAATCAATTAGCCAATCAATGAATTTTCTCCCAATTTATATTAAAAATGTTCATGCATAAAGTTAAAAAATGTTAGCATAGAAAAACAAAAACTATTATCTTATTCTTAGCCATCTAAGCAGTATAATTGTGTGCCTTTTAAGTTACTGATTAATCACCCCTCTTACATGTAATCATTTTCCAATACCAGAAACTTTTTATTTTATATTTTTAACATATATGCATGTTTTAAGAATGCAATCTTTCTTAAGCTTTTTATGACAATAGAGCAATTTTAAGTTCAAGCTTTACGATAGTAAATAATATTGGAATGATGTTTTGCAAGCTTTACTTTACCATCTTGAAAATCTTTCTGTATGCTGATGAATAATTACTTCTTTTTATTGTAAAAAACAAAAACAAATAATTGATAACAATGAATTAAAAAAGAACATTTTATCATCTATAGGGAATCAAACCTTATATCTACCAACACGATCTTAACCTTAGGACACATCGCTGTGGCGCTGAAGGACACACCAAAGACATCTGATTCTGTGATGCAAATATTTCAGCAGAGATTTTGTTCTCCTCCATCATCATTAGATAAACTAATTGTGGATCAAATGGGTTGTATGATCATGGCAGGCTGTGTGAGTATTCTAGTCCACTTAAATACAGCACATTTCCTAGTGTATTTAAAGAAAAGGAAATTTGGGGTATGTTTCAATGAGGCCAACCAATGATTGCATGTTTAGGTTTAATACTGAATTGATAGGGGGTGCTGCTGGGGTTCTGTTACCCCACCCTTTTCATATAATTTATAGATTTTAAAAATGTATACCCTTTCATATATTGCGTAGGTAAAAAATTAACTTTTTCCCATATTGGTTGGGTTTGGTGTGGTGTGTTGGAAAAGTGGAATACCAAAGTGTCAAAAGAGGGAAACTTTGTGGATAAAACCACAGCTGGTAACACCAAGAGAGATGACTTTTGGCTGTGAAAAAATTACAGGGCTTTTCATATAACAAGTAAAGGGAACTTTATTGCCCTTATCATATATTTCTGATAGTTTTCCCCACCTATTCACATATTTTCAAGTTAGAAAATGTGACCTATTCCAGTGGCACATCCTATCACCTTGTATATAGGAAGTGGTCCCCCCATGTCCTGTATATGAGAGGCAAAAGATACAAAAGGGATATTCAAACTCATTGGTCGAAAACAAACTGACAACGCCATGACAAATAACAAAAAACGATCAAAAGACAAACAACAGTATACAAAACACAACATGGAAAACTAAAGATTGAGTAACAGAAACAACACTAAAATAAACAGGTTGATTAAGATGGAGAAAGGAACAAAAATGCACTACTTAAATAGCTTAAATGTACCAGTAATTAAAGTATTAAGTGCCAATCTGCCTAAGAATCAGGCAGTGGTGAAAACATGACAAACAAAAACCCACTCAGCTTTACATTAATTTGAGTTCAGAATGTATAATGGTGCATGAATATAACATTCATTTCCTTTCCCAGTTCTGGTAATTCAAGATATAATTTGGTTGAAATGCTCTAGAAATCAACAATTAAGGGGAGATAACTCCGTAATTTGCTATCATTCTAACCAAAATTTATCTAGATATATCTCGAAATACAAGACACGTAGAAACAAAAGACCTACCATTTCTAACTCAGGATGAGGGCACCTTCAAAATAGGGTGATTAGGTCAGTGGGTTTTTTTTTGGCCATGTTTTGATTTTTTTCTAAATTGCCTGATTCTTATAAAGACTGGCACTAAATAAGTATTTTGCTGTGTAACAACTTTTGAATGTTTCTGTTATTTTTAAATCCAACCCTTTATTTCAGACAACATTGTACCATGAGATTATGCAGATGTTTACCACTGTTAGTCTGGAAAGTAGTGCACCATACAATGAACATGTTACTGATGAGAAAATTAAAGGCTATAGGTCAGTATCTTATGTGTTGGTCTGTAAAATTAGATTCTTTATGTACATGTCTTCTGTGTAGGTCAGAAAACTTAGATGTAAAATAAATGCTATAGGTATGTATGTCCAGAAATAAAAGAAATAGTTCATTGGAAATGATGAGTAAACTCTGCTGCAAGTTCTTTTTATGTGTTTTATAATTTCATGATTCAGACCTTGTTGTTTTTGTACCATCAAAACGGGTATTTACACAATTTAAATTTTCTTTTATTGACTGTTATTTAGTTAATATGCCAGATTTAGCATCCAATAGCTTAATATGCAAATATCCTAATTAGGACAGCATTACATTTTCATTTAAATGTCCTAAATTAAGCTTTAGCAAATAAAGCCATCAAAATGGTCACTGATATTGCCAGTATGTTAGTTGAATGTAAACATTTTTCTCTTTCAGACAAGTATCACCACATGTAATCAATGCATTTGCTAACATAGCAGCTAACATTCAGGGTGAGAATGATCAGTTAGAACTACTTGTTAGGCTCTTAGAGCTGTTTGTACAGATGGGGTTAGAGGCTAAGAGAACCAGCGAGAAAGTTTCTGGTGTGATGAAGGCTTCCAGTAGTGCAGGGAACCTGGGTGTATTGATTCCAGTCATAGCAGTGGTGAGTATGTAAGCTGTGATAAAATCATCAAGTAGTGCAGGGAGCCTGTATGTTTTGATAACAGCTATAGAATTCTATCGCTACATTAGTATTACATTATACAATTATTGACTTTTGATGAGGTTGATACAATGATTTATCAACCCCTGAGATATGATATTCATCGAGGCCAACAGCTGTGGTTGAATGTCATATCTCTGGCGTTGATAAATCATTCTATCAACTGACATCAAAAGTCAACAATTGTTTTATCATATGACTTTTGATCCTTCTCCAATTTTCTAGTATTAGCTCAAGATTCTTTTAAAACTGCTCCTTTTTTTTAAATAAATATATTATCTGCTTTTGCAGTTGCTAATTTTCATAATTTGAAATAAAGTTTGCTAAAAAAAATACACCAAAAAAATGAACAAAAGAAAAAATACACCGAAAACAAAAAGAAAAAGAAAACAACAGGAATTTACTTGACGTCATAAACCTACGTCGTTGACGTTCACTTGGAATATCTATATTTAGGTACACAGACGCTGTTCCAAATCTTATATTAACCTCTCGTGATTTTAGACGTGGTGAATTTAATGTTTATTAATGTAATTGCTTTGAGGCAATTAGAAAACAGAAAATTTATAGTCATATGATAAAATATGGTATTCTGTTTGATAGAATATCAGTAGTTGTAGTCAATAATGAAAAAGATTTTTCTGATCATCAAATTGGTATCTTACTACCAAGGTATGTTCATGTATTAGAAAATATATGAGAATTGACTTTCATTAAATAGAACATTACTTAGATACATAAAATCAGGTCAAATTTATTAAAATAATAAGCGTTGGAGAAATATAGATCTGTAGATGTGCAAGAACTTGTTTAAAGGGCATTTATATCAACTTCAAGCAAATTGATCATACATTGTTATGTTACTTATTCCACAATCTGATTGAAATACACATTTTTGTCTCCACCCCTTGCTTACAAGGATCTGACAATGCTTCTTTCTATTTTCTGTTTTAAAGACCTTTCAGGATCCTCTGGTTTTGTCGTAATGATACACACCTTAACAAATTTGAGGCAGAAATTTCATTGGCTGATATAATAATTACCAGAACAAAAAGTAGAACAGAGTGTTGTCAGATCCTTATAAGAAAATAGTGGGCACAGGATCTGAATTTTAATCAGATTACTCATTGCATTATGTCCTGCAAATTATATATAGTTTATTATAACTTAAACACCTATTAAAATGATAAGGACCCAAATGATATTTTTTTATTTGTCACTTCATATATGAAGAGAGCTTTCATTTATTGTAGCATATAACTATTTGTATTTTTACAGTTAATCAGAAGAATGCCTAGAATAACAGACCCCAAGCCTCGTCTACATAAACTATTTATAGATTTCTGGCAGTATTGTGTGGTATTTGCCTTTGCTTCTGATGATTCACGTATGTATTTATTAAACCTTCAGAATAATTTTTTTAGTGCATGTAGAGATTACCTTTTGTTTGTTGTGTCCAAAAATATTTTAACCACAACTCCTCCTACATAACTTGGAAAATTCATGGAAATGTACCATATTTAAATGAACATTCATAAATATGATTCTGAACTAACAAGTTTCAATGTATTAAAATATTTTTTTTTTTTTGAAAGTATATCTATTTTACGATGAGACAAGGATATACCTTGTAAATGCTACTCCTCTTGGATGGTTTAATTGATTTAAGGATGTTCACTCCTCTTGTTTTTAAATTTTTGTCAGATATTCGGAATCCTCTGGTTTTATCCATGTAGTGCTAATAAATATTTTGCCCGCTAACCACTACTTTTCTTTTCATTATTCTATTACATATAGTTTAAAAAGCCATATTTGAAAATCTTATAAAATCCTTGTTATTTTTTCAGAAAGAAAAAAGGTGCCAATGTTAAATGTATGAAAAATCTAGAGAGAATCACTTCCCGCCAATTTTTCTATGGCTTATATTTCGAAAACAAATTCACGGACCTTTCATTTTTTTTCTGCTTTTTTAGTTCTGTTATTTATATACTATCAATCAATATCAGTCTTTTAAAAGCTTAATATATTTTGAAACAGAGTAGCAAACATCCTTAAGTGAAACTTTTTACTGTGATGCTTCTTTTCAGACCTTTTATGGGAATTGTAGGTATATCTTTGTGACCTATGCTTAGACCACTGCTAGCATATTTTAAATTTAGCATACTTTTATAAGTTAAGGTAGCATGCCAATATTTGTTCAGATTTTAGGTTTTACAATTGTCTGTTTCAAACAAAATAATCTTGTCATGAAAGGTTCTTTGCAGAAATTAAGCAAAATCTGTGAGTTTGAATTGGTATTTTATAAGGAATCAATGAATTTAATTGATTTTAGGGAGTGTGATAAAGTCATAATAAATACTCGTTTTAAATTACTGAACAGTGTTTATGTATTTTGAAAATGAGATTGCATTTTAATTACATTATTTAGCCTGAGATTGCAAGTATTTAAAATGATATTTTCAGCACTATGGCCACCTGAATGGTTTGAAGGTGTCTGTGAGATTGCTGTTACTTCTCCTTTCCTGATCTCTAAATCTCACCTGAGATCTGAACTACTGTATAATGTGGCCATGAAGAATGATACAGTTACACAGGTATGCACAAGTATAGTGTATAAATCTCATCACAGATCTATACTCCTGTATTTGAATTTGGACATGAAAAATAAGGTTGCATAATAATGTAAAAATATGCAAAACTGAGATTTGGACTCCTGTATTATGTCTTCATGAAAAAAATGATATGGCAACACATATATGACTAAATATATTGTATAACTCTCATTTTAGATTGAACTTGTGGCTGTAATGACACAGTTACCAATTATGTAGATATGTTGTTGAAATTGCCTGAGAGGTCTGAACTTGTAGCCTTTAAAAATGACACGAAAAATGAGAAATGCGTCTGTATTAACAGTTTATTTTTCTCAACAGGCACAGCTGGTAGATTTAAGGAACATTTTTGATTAAATCACACATACAAGACATATCTTTGTATAACAGTTTGTTTTTCTTCACAGGCAGAGCTGGTAGATTTAAGGAACAATATTTGTCAGTTACTGGATAACAATGCTGAGATTTATTACTTAGTACAGAAGCTGCAGTTTACCCAGTGTATTTATTTGTTGTCAGTTTATCGACTGGAAACACTCAGGTATTGAATTATGTAGAAACTCTGTCAGATCTCCTAGAATTTCTTGTTCACTTTTAAAAATAAACAGACATGGGATAGGCATCATAAAGACAGCAATCAAGCAACAATGCATAATCAAAATAGATATACTCTCTTTCACAATGTACAATTGGCCACACCATCTAACAAGCTCTAGAAATCTCAAATCTTGACAAGTTTTACTATATTAAACAAAACCAACTTAACATCTGACACCAACTAGTAGCAAACAAGTAATGGAAAATCCAGCAACTCATGCCAAAATATATACCACTTTTCAAGTCATGCATTTTCTGTAAAAATAACACCTTGCCAAAGCTTCCACATTTGCAATGTGTTATTGAACGGGAATTTACATAGAGCATTGAGTTTAAAAAAGTACAAGTAGATGAAGTACAATATAGTTTTTAAACTATCTGTGACTACAAAGAAGCTTGATTTGTTATTTTTTAATGGTGACAATATACATTGATACATGATATTTTGTACATAGACTGATGAAGTATTGGGTAGAAAAACAAGGATTGTTTTGAATTTAACAATATTGATATATTACTGTTGCAGAGTAGAGTTTTCTAATGATGTTGAATCAGTCCAAGGACTTTACATGTATCTAGAAGAAAGCACGATATTCAAAGATAAAGCTGGTAATTATAATAGTTAACAGTTATTGATATATGATTTTTCATATGGCCTTTTTATGCCAATGAAAACAGATATCTTTGTTATTATATTTGAAATTACATAGCCACAGAATTATTGAAATAGAGAAGAAGCAGGTCATCAAAATACTTTATTAAGATCTGATTATTTTCAGATTCTTAATGACAACAAAAACAAATTCTTTTTAAGATTATATCACTTTTGTATGGAAAATAAACAATTGATTGAAGAAAATTCATTGTTTTGTAGTGTGGTTTGATTTGTACATAGCTATATATTTTTAGAAAAATGTGTTAATTTTAATTGATGTTACTACTAATATATATTACATGCTCAATAGTTAACAGTTATTTGTGATATGCTTTTATCCAAACCTGTACAGTAAAATATATAATTATGCAGGTATGTGGAATTGCATTAGAGCAGTTGTAGACAAAGCATTTGATAAATTTCTAGAAGCTATGAGTGAAAAGGTAAGAACATAGCAGTATTAGAGTTTTAGAAAGATTAGAACGATTGTTCATATGTCATCAAATCTAAAAATTAGGTGTTAATCACTCCTCTACTATATTAGAATCTCCAAGATAAAGTTCCCATGTCAGACTACCTTTTCTTTGTTTCTTGAGGTCATATAGTGATTGCAGTACATGCATTGCAAACATATACCAAAGTTTATATTCATAGATGAACTAGACTAAGCAGGAATTTTCCTTCTATCACTTTTCAAATGAGATCACCCTACTCAGTTTTTAGAGTGAGATTGCAATGACATCAGAAGCCAACGTCTTTGGCGCTGCCTAGTAAAATAGGGATAAACAGATTAACTATGGTCTTTCAACTCTTAGGAAGTTTCTCAGCTACATCTCATGTCAGAGTTATTGCCCTTGGATTAGATTGTAGCTGAGAAACACCTTATGTTCTTATTCAATACTTCAAACGAACATAAAGCATTTACAAAGTAAAAAACTCAACACAGTTTTTGGTTATCAGCTCGCCCCGACAGCACAGAAAGCTTATTTTTATTATAAACAATAAACAAATGTCCAATTTGCTGTCATCGACCGCTGCCATCACATATAAACACAATCTACAATAGAAAAATGTTCTATAAGTTGAAGAAAAAATCATTTCGATTTACATACATGTATTTTATCAACTATTTTCTACATAACATACTGATTCACATTCCTATGAAGTCTTAATAAAAGGGGTGGGTGGGTGGGAAAACGAACCTTTCTGTCGGATAGGCGAACCTCGAATGACAATTCTAGATATCTTATTATAATTTTAGCGCTAAAATTCTAGCATGAAGTTATCATGATTGATATAACTTAAACCGGTAATAACTTACTGATGGTCCAATCAAATTAAACATAAACATGTTTTGATTTAAACACACGTGTTAAAAAGTAAACAAATACACGTGTTCCCGAGTAACCTTTATAAATACATTTATGTTCTTATTCAATACTTCAAACGAACATAAAGCATTTACAAAGTAAAAAACTCAACACAGTTTTTGGTTATCAGCTCGCCCCGACAGCACAGAAAGCTTCGATTGATAAAGAAAGGGACATAAAGAAAAAGGGGGGACAAACAATATAAATTACAATCCTAAATTCTTAGATACTGACAATCTGTTGAGTATACTCTCTTTAACATAACCATCTTTGGCTTTATCACTTTTCCATCTCCCGTGTTTCTTAAACAACCGGTCATCTATTCCAGCTTCTGCCGCGGCAGTAGCTCCTCCTGACCTCAAACTATGTAAGCCAAACTGTTTTTTATCAAGACCTAAACTGTCAAGTGCAGATAACAATAACTCTCTGGCTCTGGTGTAAGAAATATGACTACTCTTTCTAAGTTTGTATATATTCAAAGATTTACAATAACAAATAGATCTAAAAATAAAATCATTCGATTCTTCAGGAATGTTAGCTAACTTTAGATAACGCTGAAGTACATCTACCGGGCATGTAATATTCCCTGTTTTTGAAATGACAACATCTTTCCCTTCCCTATATACATCAGTTTTACTCTTGACTAAATGAAGTGTAAGGTAAGTAGGGGAAAACTGTATATCAGACCTTCTCAAGTTAGCTAACTCGGAGAATCTTAAAAAGCCAGCATAGGCTAATAAACACATACATGCTATTCTTACATCTTTTAAATTACAAGTATTATTAGCATATTTACATACAATATTTTTCAAAATATGCGGTGTGATAGGTTCTTTTTTGACAACTGAATGACCTATTTTTCTATGAGCCCCTTCAAGAACAGATGCAACTAGATTATTTTCACTGGGATCAGCAACGCCAGCTAATTTATGTGCCCATTTTATGGCGTAAAAAGCATCATTCAATTTTGAAACCGATTTTGCAGTTTCAGACAAATGAATTAAATATAAAGAAATATGTAAATGAGATGCTGGCAATGGTGAAAAAGAATATTGACTAGTCCACTTACACCATGAATTGAAGGCATATCTATATTTCTTCTGAGTACTCGCAGCCTTGGACGAAAGAAGGAATTCTGGTAACTGTTTGAACAAACTGCTGAGATCATTATTAGAGGCAACTTGTGAATTAAAGTCTGACCAATGTCCTACTGAAAAAATATCTGAAAAACGTAAAATTGCAATAACATTTTATATACATATACAGAGGACGAATTATTAGCATATTTCAGATTTCTATACACAGTAAAATATAATATATATTCAAATATTTCAACGCCAGCTACAATATCTTTATAGATACTAGGGCCATAAACTGTAAAACAAATTACCATGCCTGCTAAAATATCATTATAGATACTAGGGCCATGTCAAATAAAAAACCAAGCCTGCTACAATATCATTACCGATACTAGGGCCATGTCAACATAAACACCCATGCCTGCTACAATATACATATACTAGGGCCATGTCACAAACAGACCATGACTGCTACAATATATCTATATATATATTAGGGCCATGTCACAAACAGACCATGCCTGCTAAAATATATCTATATATATTAGGGCCATGTCTAAGATGCATCTAGCAAAACAGCCAAAACTGGCGAACCAAACGGTTCAATTCCGAATATCGTATTCTTATTCGAACCTTGCTTATAAATACCATCAGTATTTTTAAACACAATAACATCTTTTACGTAATCTTGATAAATCAGATGTTTATCGAATATCAAAGGCCAGAATGCAGCAGAAATCCACTTAGGCACAACTAACGTGCCTCGAGCTTTACAAGCTATAATGTGTTTAATCGATCGTATCACAAGATTAATTGGTGGAACTAGCCAATTATTTTCATTGGTCCAAACTTGAGAAAATGCATCAACTGCTTCAGAATCAGGTTGCCAAAATAAGGAGTTAAATCTCATAACTTTTCTATTTTCGACACTTGCAAACCTGTCAATCGAATAAGGACCCCACATATCATTTAAAAAATTGAAAAATATATGTGTGACTCCCCAGTCCTCGAAATCAACCATTTTGCTGATATAATCAGCCTTTTCATTTTCTTTTCTGGGAATCCATTGAATGTCAATTGATATTCCTTTTTGAATGCAAAATGAAAAAATAGATTTTGCTATAACATGAAGATTTTCTTTCATACTTCCCGAATTAACAATTTTGACACAATTTTGATTGTCAGTAAACCACTTTATAGTTTTTCCTGTGAAACTATTCTTAAAAGAAAAAAGGGCCAACTCTATAGCTTTCAGCTCTCTCCATGTGGAGCTTTGTACCGTTTCACTACATGTCCACATCTTATGGAAAATCTTATTTTCTAATTCAACGGTGTATGCACCAGCGGCAATATTACTAGCATCTGAGTATATGACAACAGAAGATTTACTGTAATGACATAAATTACGATAGTTAATCATGGTGACATTTTCTAACCAGAACTTTAACTCTGATAAAACCTCGACGGGTTTGTACCCTGTAATGGGAATATCCCACCCAATTCTACTTTCAATTTCCATGTAACAGAACTTTGACATAATTCTAGCCACATTTCCGATTACGGGAGTCATAGAAATAATTCTACCTACAACCTGAGCTAAAGATCTAGCTGTAACATAGGGAAATTTAGCCAAAATTACATTCAATGAGAAAATCAAATCGTCAACTCGACGTTGAGTAATAGATAATTTGTATTCTTTCGAGTTCCAAACTATTCCCAACCATTCTAACTCGGTAACAGGTTTAAAAACAGACTTCTCCTCGTTAATAAGGAAACCAGCATCAATCAAAGACCTTTTTACGAAGGACGATTGCTCATTACATGTATTTTCATCTGGACTCATGCCAAATCCATCATCTAAATACAAAACAACTTTTATACCGTTTCCACGCCAAAATTTTACTAGTGGCCTCAAACATTTAGTAAAAATGTACGGACCGGTAGTAATTCCGAAAGCTAAAACAGTATAGCAATAAAATTGACCTTCCCACTGAAAACCTAAGAAAGTCTGTTGCTGTGAGCATATGTCTAAGTGAAAATAACCAGATTTTAAATCAAACTTAAACAGATACATATCTTTGTCAAAATATTGTATAGCTAACTTCCAATCCTCAAATTTTATTTTTTCGCGCTTTATGTGTTTATTCAATTGACTCATATCTAAAATAAGTCGTTTCTTACCGGACTTTTGAGTAGCAACACTCAATGGATTTACCACATATGGTTGAAAAGGCACTTTAATTACGCAACCTATTTGAACTAAATCTTCAATTGACTTTGTGACAAATTCAGTATTCTGCCGTGCTGATCTATTATTTCTGTGGTACATTTTAAAAGGTGTATCTATAAATGGAATAACATAACCATTTTTTATTGTATCAAGCACAAAAGGACAAGCACCTATATTTTCCCAATACTTTACATGACAAGCTAATCTACCTTTCACCCCTTTAAATTTATCATATGACTGACAATTTTCAAAATATTGAACTTGATCTAAAAAAGATTCTATATAATCGTTATCAACAAAACATGTAGAAAATTGGTCATTAATAGTGTCTAAATACTTATCATTCACAATGACTGGAGAGTGACGTTCAGGCCCTACTTTACTACTTCTGGTAGGTTGTGGAGTTGCTGTTGGATGACCTGAGACTGGCGAGAAGAGGACAGTTTTTTCTCCAGTGGCCTTGTTGCTTGCAGTAGTGGCACGTGTCGATTGAGCAAGGCTTACGCCTTGCGAAGCTCCCACGAAAGGGCTGTTGCTGATTACGTTGATAATGCTGAGCGTAAGCAGGGTTACCATAAGATTCCGCAGGTTGTTGACGAGGCGGATTTTTTGGGTAAGGTTGCTGGCGAGATTTTGACTTCTCCTTGGAGGTACGGATAGCTCTGGTCTCAGCTTGTCGTATCTTTCTCTCATCTTCAGAATCTGAAGCCACGGCATTGGATTCGTATTCCCTAACGGTTCCCCAACCAGCAGGGGAAGCATCAGCTATGCGTATTTTCTTATTACGGCTTTTGATCTTATCAGTTATGTCAAGAACTAATCTATAGGCTTGAGTATTGGAGTTAGGGATGAATTTTGAAAGTTTATTAACAGTGTCTAATAATTCCTCGTTAAAGGTGTACTGAATTCTGTTTCCTTCCCCCTTAAATTTTAGAGTGACGTCCTCCTTAATTTTTCTCTTAAGGCAATCTTGTTCTTGTATGAGTTCAGATTTCAACTCACCTAACTTGCTGTCTAAAATTGTCTTAAAAAGCTCTACAGTATCTACCAAATCAGACGACTTATCAGCTGCTTTATGAATATTAGGTGGCGGTAAACTATTATCTCCTTCGAGTAGTATGTCTTCATTCAATTCCAGACGTGGAGAAGATTCGGACATTTTACCAAGTGGCGATTTAAGAAAAAACGAACCTTTCTGTCGGATAGGCGAACCTCGAATGACAATTCTAGATATCTTATTATAATTTTAGCGCTAAAATTCTAGCATGAAGTTATCATGATTGATATAACTTAAACCGGTAATAACTTACTGATGGTCCAATCAAATTAAACATAAACATGTTTTGATTTAAACACACGTGTTAAAAAGTAAACAAATACACGTGTTCCCGAGTAACCTTTATAAATACATTTCTTATTTACAGAACCATAGATAATCTATAAAACTTCAAATAAAGTCAGCTTTCTTTTCAAAAATTTACTAGTTCATTGTATTCCCATTGTTGTCATTTGATAAACATAATTTCTTTTATTTGAACAAAGATTAATTTCAGTCAGATCTGTATAGTGCCAAAAAACCAAAGAAAATTCAAAGGTACAAATACTTACAATGTCTGTTAAATGGATAGATATGTGCTACATTTTGGTGGTAGAATGCAGTCTACAAAGCAGTCAACTGTACAAGAGTATAGTATCATGATTGTATCTTTTTGTTTAGCCAAAGACAGAGGCTAAGGAACATGAATTAGATCTACTAGCACAGTTCTTACTGGTAAAGTTTAATCACATCTACAAAAGGATAAGGACGGTAGCTGACATTCACCTCTCTAGACTGGTAGAAAAGTAAGTATATATATTGAGTTATTTAGAATTATATACAATGAATGCAGATGTAGTATACTGTACTTACATTGTAGTCAGGGATGTACAGTCAAACCTGTATATATAAAGGTCATCCTTGGGACAAAAAATAAAACTGACCTCATTAAAGAGGTGACATTTAAATTGAGGTTTAAAATGCATAAGTACTACTACTGTAGGACAAGTAGAGGATAACCTGGCAAGACAGGTTTTCGCTTATTAGGGGTGACCGTTATAGCAGGTTTGACTGTAGTTTGTGGAAAATTAGTCTTTAATGGAGTTTTAAATTTTGAGTTATCAGACTTCACACAGAATATCTGGATGAACTGTTAAAATAGAGAAAAAATTATTTAACTATTGTAGTGATATCATCAGTGACTTTTTTATAACCTGTGTACTGGATCTATTCTTTTGTAATATTTTAAGACGAGTAAATCAACATATGTCATAATGGGGTATATTTCAACGAGACAACAACCTTATGATATAAGAAAAGAAAAACGAGATTTAGATTTAAACATATAGTCCTCAATAATAGACTAGTATCTTTGATGTATTTTGATTTTTTAAACCCCCACTATAGGAGTTTGGGTTTTAGTGTAATCACCTTGTGTGTTTGTTCCTCCATTAGTTTGGTTGTTCTTCTGTTCACTCATCCAACAAATATTTTTGTCATTTTTTTGTTCAATACTACTGAACTGAATGACTAAATATTTGATTAGAAGCTTGCCAGTGATGAGTTGTAACTTGTTAGAGCACTTTTAAGATCAGTCAGACATTCTTATTTGCCAAGACTGAATTTTGAATATGTTGAATGAACTAAATATTCTCATTACACATTTCTCCAATACTACTGAATAGAATGACTTCGTGTCTGGTCTGCCAGTATAAAATACGGAGATGTGATATGATTGCCAATGAGATAAATATTCACCAGGTCCAAATAACGTTGATGTTAGCAAGTATAGGTTGCAAGTTGGGGTATGCATGTGCAACTTATTGTTTAGACTTATTCAATGAAATTATTGTACTGATAAGTATTAGTAAGATGTATCTCACACATAATTTAATAATGCTTTGTCCAAAAGAGTAATACATCATTAATACATAATAATTTCAGGTTTCCACATTTGTTATGGAGTGGCACTGTATTGAAGACCATGTTTGATATACTACAGTTACTGTCAAACTCATTAGAAGTGGTAAGATATGTACATGATTCGTACCTATATATTAAGTAACTTCTAAAACTGGACAGTGTCTTGAAGCTTTTTATATAAATTACTGTTGAGAATAGTTTACCTTTTTTTTCAAAATGAATGGAGAGTAACTTTTAGTTTTGAGAAACAAAAATTGTCAATATATTAAAAACAGAATCAATATGATTTTCTTTTAATATAATGCACAGGAATGGAAATCTTTAAATGCTGTTCAACCTCAGTGAAATGACAAATCTCAATAGCAACTTCTTAGCTCACCCCCTTAAATTTCATATAATATTTTTGGATGAAATCAATGACATTTTTGTACTGCAAGCAACAAAGTTATGGATCTTGAATTTTTTTTTCCGTCTGTATGTCATAAATTTCTTGTAGTAGGTAAGCACCTTCACCTTTGTCGGATCCTCTTCAAATTTGGATGAATAATCATATTATCAGGAAAATCTGAAATGGGAGACCATTATGAAATTTAATGATTTAATTGTACATCTTATCTAATATGATCTGCTACTTGCTCTCAGTTAGGAAGTTTATCTGATGTTATTTTCTTACTGTGGTATACAATTACATTTGTTTTGCCAGATTGCAATACAATATATTATTAAAACTTATTACATTGCATGACATTTTTAATTATTTCTGCATAAACGTTTGTTAAGACAATGTTCATACATGACAAGAATTGAACATATTTTTGCTATGCACTACTTATTGTAACAAACTTAACTGTAATGCCTACATTAACTTGGTATCACAAATAAATGTACATGTATTCAGTTAGTACTATTATAGATAATCACTTACATTTTGTTTTAGATCAGTTTTATTATGATATGCATGTGTATTGTGTCAATCTTTTCAGGAATGGTACAATGTAAGAATTCTATTGTTTAGTTATTTTGTTTTTCCTCTGACAAATCTAATTTATCACCAATAGTTGTTTTCTTCTGTTGTTTTTGCTATTAATAATCATGATAATTGTGTGAAAAGGGTAAGAGGTATTAAGGGATTTATTTAGCTCTTGTAAAGCTAGATTTTATATATCAAAGGAGTAGGTTTGATAAGGCCCCCAATATGGGCCCTATTTTTAGCTAAAATTTCAAATAAGGATTCATTGACCGTTATCAAAATAAATCAAAGCTTAAATAATGACTAGCTAGGAAATAGTTCCCTTTGTTAAAGAATTACACATGAGTGTTCTTTTGATGATGTAATAAGTAGCACAAATTAGGGTTTTCCTCAAATTCAATAATTTCGGTTATTTCAATTTCTGTGGGAAACGTACAGCGCAGATGTTGAAAAATGAGATCTTTTAACATTATGTGTGTTATAACAATTTAATTACTAATCTTCATACTTAAATATTCAGTTTGTCAAACCCTGCACCCTATGTTTCCTACGCCTAAATGTGGTTGAAATCTGGAAAATTTTGTCAACCTTAACCAAAATCTATTTTGTTGGCCTATTTGTGGTATAAATGTCAATAAGAAAAGATTGACAAAAATATTTCTGTTCCACTTTCTTACATGTCTATTCATCAACTTGAAATATTTTTTTTATCAGGAAACAATGGACCTAATATTCAGGGCGAAAAAGGGCACTTACTGATCCCGCGAACTTACTCCTTTGAAAATAATACACTGTTTTTTGAACATCTTCTTTTCAGAAAATAATCAAATATAGTCACAATATAGTCACAATACTTGCATTTCCATGATAGCAAAAACCTCATTAAAATTGAGTTTTTTGGGGAAATTACCAAAATGTTAAACTTTTTGTTGTGTTTTTTTTTTACCAATTTTGGGGATAAAAAATTGAATTATCATTGGGGAAACATCAAAATATATTTGTATAAGGGAAAAAAAATACTAAAGTTTATGGAACTTCTTCAAATAATAATTTTTTTATGATCCTTTGCTTTCATGATGACTTGAGTTATTGCCCTAATTTTCTCTTTGTTTCAACTTTATGATAAAAGCTGTTTGATTTTCCATTTTTGATTTTAAAAATATAAAACATATTTTCAGTCCCAAAAAGCCCTGAATTTATCTTGATTTTTTAGGATCATGTCATAGTAAATTATTCAGTCACATTTTTTCATTACATTTTCATTAAGTTAGTTTTAGCAATGACTATTTCAGCATCTTTCATCAACAAGATTCCAATAATTAAAAACACTATGAAGTAAGAAACATTTTCTGGCTTTATTAAAAATATGAACAATTATATATTTGAAATGGACAACATAAGAATTCTGTGACCTTGCATTCTTTCATGGTGCCATAGATAAAACTTTATGAAAACACATATTATACGTCAAAAGCAAGGTGTTATATGGTCAATGACTGTATTATTATTACCAAAATGTATAGGTTCAAATCATTGTGATTGCCCAAATAACACAGTGACAGTATAACTTTTTATTCATATTTGACAAAAAAAATAAATTTGATGAAATTTGAGTTTGATGTTGTAACATTGTATGAAACACTTGTAAATGGAAAGTATGTTGTCTTAGGGATTATTACAATTAATGTGAAAATAGCAAAAACAAAAGATAAGAGTAACTATAGCAATTATGATTATTATTTTGTTTAACCCCAGTTATTTTATGCACATTTTCCTACACAGCACAGTTATAAATGTTCAGCAACTTTCCATGTCAATGACAGCCATTAATTTGCAAAGACAATTTTTTCAGTGTGATAACAACTTTGTTAGATTCTAAGTAGCAGTGTAGTGAATATAAATAGAACAATGACATACATATATGATATTAGGATAATTCATCTCATTGTGATAGTTTATATTCTATCTTTTATTCTCAAAATATATATAGCCTCTAATCTATAAATATATCTTTGAAATAACTGAGCCCATTCAACAAGGAAAATACTAAATATCTTTACATGATATCTTTGTATTTTGAGAAATTCTGTGTCAAAACACTCTGACCAAAATGAATCTGCATTTTTTATTTTGTTTTCAGGATTATCATGTGGTATATAAAACTTTACTTAGTTTGCAATTTTATTTTAAGTTTTTTTTTTTTATTTTCTGTTTTGGTTTGTTTTAAATTCAGGATTGATCTTAAAAATGTACTTCAATGAATGCAAAACTGAATGATGAAATTGTTTTCGTTCATCAGAAGTCAGTGACCTAAATTCCAAGATCAAGTCCTGGATATCCTAAAATCCTGTTCATTATATACATTATAGTTTGTTGAAGGGTGATTTATTATTAGTATTTAACGTTTGTTTAACTGGTTTGAACTTTTCATGAAGTAACACTGTAGTAATAATGATATGATTGCCACTGTTGAAATTTTCTATACATTGCTTTTACAAAGAGAAATGAAAGCTTATTGTTCAAGTTTTAAATGAGTTTTAGTTCCCAAGTAAATTGAAGACTTCAATAATTTAGAAAATTAAGATGATGGACATTATCAGTATGGTTTCTATTGCAAGCTCATTAAATTTCATTACTTAAACTAATAAATAGAAATTTTCAAGTGAAAACCAAGCAAATGAGAAATCTTTATCTGAAAAAAAAAAATGATGCATGTGACTGTAGAGTTATAAAGATGTCACAGGGTAAACTCCCTTGAACAAGCTATTGTTACTTGATTCTCATGTTAATGATACCAGCTTACATATTTTGTAAAGCTTACCTATTTTCTTGTCAATGAAAAGGTATGGGATATATAATGTCAGATATTAGCAGTGATTTCCTATTTTTCTAGGATCCAAATGAAGAAGCACCAGAGTTTGATGTCCCTGGAACTCCTTTCAACTTTCGAGTCCGAGATAACCTTGCAGATAGAGAGGTAATATTTTTTATAAAGAATTCTAGGAAGTGATTTGAGTAATTAGAAAAGAATTATAAAAATTCTTTTGTAGGAACCAATACACGAAGAAACAATCTCGCATGATTTTGACCAATTGGTGGCCTTGGGCTGTTTTCTGCTCTTTGGTCGGGTTGTTGTCTCTTTGACACATTCCTTGTTTCCATTCTCAATTATAATTGAATAGATTCAGTATATATAGCATTAAAATTTATAACAATGGCTATTGCTAAAAAAATATGTAAAATTGTTTCCAGGCTTGGAAATTATGAAAAAATTGTTATAGCTGTCTCATTGGCAATCATACCACATCTTTTTATTTTTATATTTGGTACTTTTTTAAACTACTAGCAGTCTTGCCTGTATCCTGTTTTCAGTATTAAACTAGGTTTAGAAGAGTTGGGAAATAAAACTAAATATATACTTTTAGTTGATTGTAATACTTGAAAATATTGTATAGAATGGTTGTGACCTTTATTATTCCAGAAGACCAAATTTATTTTCTTTAATACAGCCAAACTTAAAATCATCAGACCTCCCCTGAAGCATTCATGTATATTTTCTGTAAAATAATGCCTTTTATACCTGAATACTGTACTTGTTATTTTACAGAGCACGGTAAAGGACTTTGCTGCTTACAGTAAGGAGTTATTGAAGGAGTCAATGAAGTGGGCTCCAAACACTACAAAGTCTCACCTGGCACAATACTTACATGAAGTAGAAAAGTCCACAGAGGGTCTAAAACAACACACAGGTGTGGCACTAGCCATGGAAAGTGTACATACTTATGCTGGATACAACAGGACTGCTTCACCTTTAGCCGTAAGTAATCAAGTCATAGTATAGATCTAAAACAACACACAGGTGTGGCACTAGCCATGGAAAGTGTACATACTTATGCTGGATACAACAGGACTGCTTCACCTTTAGCCGAAAGTTATCAAGTCACAACATAAAAGACGTGTGTAAACCAATTTATTTGCCATTTCTAGAAACTTTATTCCAAATTTTTTTTAAAAATTTGTTAATACTTGATATTTAGATTGTTGAAGTTGAACAGCTTTTTCACCCCCAACTGCTAGGCGGAGGGGCATTAAGTTTTATTCTTGTCCATCTGTACATAGTCCCTCCGTCCATCAATAAGTCTCGAAATTGGTTTCTGTTCTTTAACTTCAGTTTGTCTCAAGCAAATGTTATGAAACTTATACACAATGCTCATTACCATATAAACACAGCACAGATCAAGTTTGAATTTGGGTGGCATCACTTTCACTGTTCTCGAGTTATGTCCCTTTGTAAATGGAAAACTTGGTAAACTTTACTTTGCCTCAGCCAATTGTCATGAAACTTATATACAATGTTTATTACCACCAAACACAGATCAAGTTCGAATTTCACTGTTTTTGTGTAATGCCCCTTTCGAAATGGAAAATTGCCAAATTTGCTGTTTTGCGCGCTCTATCAGTTTTACTTTTTTTTAGTTATGCCACTTTATAACTGGAAAAATTTCTTTTGTCCACACTTGAACTGTTTTCCAATCATTTCATTTCCACTATCACATGTATCTTGTAATATTGAATGCATGTATAGTCATGATAGTGTTGACAACTTCCAAGAAAATCAAAAGATTGTGTTGTAAAATAAATAGGTGAACATTACCTTTTATTTTAAAGATTAGAACAGTCTTAGCTTGAGTAAATTTATTTAAATGTATTCTCAAATATGAGTATGAGTTTTGAACAAATCCAATTACAAATAGTTTATGAAGTCTGATTTAAAGGGTATAATACGGAAATATGTAATAACTATATCAGTTAACTTATTTTATTTTCTTTACCAAATACTGTTGATTTATTATTATTTGTACGATACCAATTTTCGTTGGTTTCGTGGGTATAAGTGAACCACGAATTCAAAATTTCAAGGAATTACAAATGTTCTATAGGCTTTGTTTGCAGAGATTGGAAAAACCACAAAATCAAATATCCACAAAAAATGCAAGTTTTCCTCAATCCACGAAAATTGATACCCACGAAAATAAATGAATCCACATTATGCCATATATTCATGTTTTTTTTTGTTTTTTGCAGTCTTCAACTCTAGAAAGAAGGCCAAATAGTGTGACGAAGGACAGTTCTAGTTTTATGGCCAATCTTAATCTGAGAAGTAGATACACTGGAGAGGTATGGTTATTGCCAAAAAAAAAAACAGAAATGCTTCATATATAGTTGCTTTGGTGTTAAATGCATTTTTTCATATTGAAAAGTTATATTATCTGTGGGATGCAAGTTCTGAAGTAATGTTAGCTCTTCTCCTCTGAAACCACTGGACCAAAATTTAACCAAACATGGCCACATTCATCATTGGGGTATGTAGTTTAAAACATGTGTCTGATGACCCCACCTGCCAACCAAGATGGCTAAAAATAGAACATTGGGGTAAAATGCAAGTTTTGTCTATTATTTTGAAAACCGTTATAAATAGAGAAAAATCTGATAGTCAAAAATGTTCAGAATGTTGAGCTCTACTAATTGGCAGTTTAAGTCAAAACTGTTAACTTATAGGAGTTATTGCCCTCAAATGACAACTTTTACCATTTTTTTTTACATTTTTGTCTATTATCTTGAAAACTATAATAGATACAGAGAAACTTTAAATTCAAAAATAATCAGCAAGACGAGATCTACAAGTAAGTCTCCATGATTGAAATCGTCAGTTGACTCCTTATTAGAGTTATTGCCCTTTGTTGACGATTTTTACTATTTTTTGGTGTTTTTGTCTTATATCTTAAAAATTATGATAGACAGATAGAAACTTAAATAAGGGAAAATGATCATTAAGACAAGATCTACAATTAAAAATGAAGTTATTGCCCTTCATTGACGATTTTTACCAATTATTTTGCCTTTTGCCTTCTATGAAAAAAATTATAATAGATAAATAGAAACTTTAAATAACAAAAATGATCAGCAAGGCAAGATCTACATACAAGTCAAATTTTGCCGATATAGTTATTAGACTGTCACTCTTTATAGGAGTGATTAACCTTAAATGAGTATTTTTTTTCCCTCTTTTGTGTTTGGAGCAAAAACTAAAGTAGATAGAGAGAATTAACAGATAAAATGATCAGCAATACAAGATCTGCAAAAAAGAGAATTTTGTTATGAATTCTATTTTCGTTTACAATGTTGGAGAGTGTCCTTTGTTGAATATGCCAATAGACCTAGGTGAGCAACACATGCTCTTTAGAGCCTCTAGTTTCATTCTGTCATTGGAATTTTCTCATGTAAAAGTTATAAAATATAATGACTGACTAATATTTTAACCTTTAGGTTGCTGGAATGAAAGCCATATGTAAGGATGATCAGCTTGCTCAGTTATTGTATGGAGAGTTAGAGAAGGCTATAAAGAAACAGGGTAAGTAACTTAGACATGTCAAACAAAACAGTTTCATTTATAAAATATTTTATTTGAAGGGTTTAGTAATATGAATGAGTGGAGATATTGGTTATACATCAAGGAGACAGCAACCCATTGACACCAATATCCAAAAGACATATGTATACATTCTTTTAAAAAACTACTTTATGTACAGAGGAATAATTTTTGATGAAAATTTCTACATTTTAGTAGGATATAATTATGAGGTGGATATAGGTGAGACAACATCCCCAAGTCACACTAGGTAATAATAATACATACCAAAGAAAAAGCTTTTATTATTGTTCTCAATCTTAATAGTTGAAGGAAGGTATGATTATATGATAGACAATGATTACAGCAAGTAATGTGTTGTAAGTACCAGTGCATGTATATCATTAAATGTTGACATCCCATTAAAATGTAGTATTTATTTAATTTCAGAGGATGAAGCAATTATACAAGGATTGTTTAGGATATGTGCTTTCTTAGTCAATATTAAAGGTATTTCATATTTTATTGATATTTTTTACATTTGCATTATAAGATTGACAAATAATTTGATGTTTGACCCACAAATAAAATTATACTGTTTTATAATAATCAGAATTCATCCTATTTCATGTCCTTGTGTCAATATTGGAAAGGAAATGTTCAAAAGTCATGTAAAACTAGAATTTCTGATTTCTAAACTTTTCAAAATTAATGAAAGAAATACTTTAGTGTCCTCTACATTTTTTTCTATATAATTAAATAGTACATGTTTTGACTAATACACAGCCGTGATAGCAACATTAATGGAAAACTTAGTCATAATAGGATAAACCTTTTTCCAGACATTTTAAACTCAGGAAATATGATTTTCAGTGTTTTGAAATGTGAGGATAAAATGTCTCTGACATGGCTGTTAGTTTATAACTTACCATTTCTGAATTACTTTTCCGTTTAAAAATATTTTTAGCAAAATAAAGATAAATAGATATTGTCAGAGTTATATTTATATTATATACATGTATTGTTGAAAATTTAAATATTTATGTATTTGAATAGATTGTCACAGACATTTACTACATTCCCTTTGTTGGACCCCAGTAAGACAATTTACAACTAAGGCCATGGAAGCTGCTGTCTCATGCTGGGAGTGGTTACTAGCTGCTAGGAGGGACCTTAATATAGAGGTATAAACAATGTATAACCAGAGTGAATACTTAACAACTAGATACAATCCATGAAATTCACGAACCAAACAACTAAGACTGGGAAAAAAATATAATAATTTTACAAGCTGCACTGTGCAGGATTTTTTTGTATGTTTGTAGTTTAAACATCTGTTCTAGATGGGGTAAGGAGGAGGTTTGTGCACATGTAAAACAATTAACCCCACAACATTTTGTGCCTGTACCAAGTCTGGCTTTCTGGACCATATGTTGTTCATTGTTTTTTTTGGTCTTAAACATTGTTTGGGAGATAGATTTCAAAATCAAATAAAATTTGTGCAAAATTTTAAACATTGAAAGAATTAATGTTCAAAACAATTCCTGTTTTCCTACATGGAAAAGCTAATTTAGAATATGATAATGATTGTCTTTGGTCAAAAGGTTATTAGGTATAATTAAATGAGACATACTTGGAAATATTAAATATCCTGATGGAAATGTTGCACAAGTGAGATTCCATTTATTTAACAAAATTACCCTTTTTATGTTCATTATAGTTTTTCTGTGAGATGGCAGCCGCCTGGCAGGTGACCATTGATAAGAAGTTGGGTATATTCAGAGAAGACCGACCAGAGGTGGACCCATTAGCTAAGACAGAGAATGATATTGTTGGTCCTCATCCACCTGTTGTTGGACCTCATCAGTTATGGACTCAGGTTTGTTAATTGCACATTGAAGGACATATTCATACAGAACAGACAAACCAGAAATAGATACAACCAAGAGGAAGGAAAGGAATCATCTCTATGTGGGAGCTAGAAAAAGAGAGGCTACCAAAGGGACATTCAAACTCACAAGTCCAAAACAAACTGAAAACCCCATGGCAAAAAACGAAAAAAGACCAAAAGACAAACAACAGTATACAAAACACAACATAGAAAACTAAAGACTGAGCAACATAAACCCCACTAAAACTGGGGGTGATTGGAAGAGAACAAAGACTAGGAGGGAAAATCATCAAAATTGACATTTTGCAAGTGATAGCCAACTTTGGGGCAGCCACCTATCCACCTACCCCTTATCACTAGCCCACCTACCATGCCCTGTCATCACCTATATTCAAATTATCAGCAAATGAGCTATACCTTGCTGCTATTGCTAGCTTCATTGTATTCAGTGAACATCAGCAGCAAGGTATAGCTCATTTGCTGATAATTTGAATATCTTTACAAATAAAGGAAATTCAAACATTTTCCACAAACAATTCAGCATGGTAAGAGTTAAAATTGAAAGCAAATTCTTCTTGGATTACCAATTATAGTAATTGACTTATTATGCAGACAAAATTTGTATATTGTTTTTATTGACATTTCAGTTTCTGTTTGAGAGGATTGAGATAGCTAAGTATTGTAGTAATGACCAAGTAAGCATCCTGACAGGTCTTCTCAATAAATCATTGTCTATAACTGTTGGCAGAAATCCACCATCGATCTCTAGACATCTGTCAGCTGTTGGTCCTAGGATGAGGTAAGTATATACAAATCTTTGACTTTAACACTGAAATTGGAGTACAGTTATAACCAAAATCTTTATTGAAAGCTCAAAGTTAAAAACATAAATAAATTAGCATTTGTTTGTCCACATTTTACAAAACAATATTATTCAATATTTAGAGGCAAAATATAAATTCTGTTACAACGGCAGACTTTATACAAACTAGTCTAAGATTGATTATTTATTGGTATGGATGGATTTTTCCACAAATATTTTGTTTCTTGTAATTTCATATCAAAATATTACGTTTAAAGCAAAATAAGGTCAAAGTTGATTTATTGATGTCAATAAATCTTGTTTGTCTAGCAATAAAAAAAAGAAGCGGAAGATGCCAAAAGGGAGAACAACGAAAAACTAACAAGAATGTACAAAACATTACATAAAAAACTTAAGACTGAGCAAAACAGACTCAACCAAAAAAACGGGGGTGATCTCAGGTGCTCAGGAAGGGATTACTCTCCAATTGTTTTTAAATTTGTTTTTAAAATTTCTAATTATAGATACATTGTAAAAATGATAAAGTTGCAATTTTCAAATCGGATGCACATTGTTAACACTTGCTAAATTGTGGATATATTTGCAGGATGTTATGTATGGGTTTATCCATTCTACAAGGAGATACACTGCCAAACACAACCAGTAAAACTGTACTTAGAGAAAGGGTTTATGCATCAGCACTGGATTACTTTGCGTAAGTTGTACAATTGTTTTTCTAATCAGTGAAGTATTTGACTTCGTTAGAGAGATGACTGCTAAAACAAGTTAAAGAATACGGGGAAATGTTTGGACATGTTTCAAAATGACTGTTAAACAAAGGTGACAGATGATTTCAGGTGAATGTTAGGGCAGGTTTGACTGTATTTTTACATAGAAGATTAAAACTTCAGCAAATTTTATTTAGACTAGAATGTAACATCTCAAGTAACAGGAAGTGATTCTATAACATCTTATAGCAATGCTGTATATCTAATTTATTGATTTACAGAAGAAGACCATTATTTCCCACTCATAAAGGATCAGATTTGAGAGAAGACATCAACACGTTAATTAAATTCTTCAACTTGATGCATCAGGACAAGAAGTACCTTGCTCACAGCGTAGTACCTTTCTCAGGTAAATGTCACAGAAATACCTAACTCAAAGTTTTGTTCCTTTCTCAGGTAAATGTCACAGAAATACTTTACTCAAAGTGTTGTACCTTTCTCAGGTAAATGTTACAGCAAACTGTTGTTCCTTTCTCAGGTAAATGTTACAGAAATATCTTGCTCATAGTGTTGTACCTTTCTCAGGTAAATGTTACAGCAAACTGTTGTTCCTTTCTCAGGTAAATGTTACAGAAATACCTTGCTCATAGTGTTGTACCTTTCTCAGGTAAATGTCACAGCAAACTGTTGTTCCTTTCTCAGGTAAATGTTACAGAAATACCTTGCTCATAGTGTTGTACCTTTCTCAGGTAAATGTTACAGCAAACTGTTGTTCCTTTCTCAGGTAAATGTTACAGAAATACCTTACACATAGTGTTGTACCTTTCTCAGGTAAATGTTACAGAAATACCTTACTCAAAGATTTGTTCCTTTCTCAGGTAAATGTCACAGCAAACTGTTGTTCCTTTCTCAGGTAAATGTTACAGAAATACCTTACTCATAGTGTTGTAACTTTCTCAGAAATACCTTACTCATAGTGCCATAGAGATGGCACAATGCTGTTTACACAAATGATGTTTTTATCTGCCAAGGATGAAGAAAGGGGGGCGTATATCGTAACCCATTGGCTATAAAATAAGGAGAAGGTGCAATATAAAGACAAGAAAACAGCAACATTTATCTTATTTTATTTGAAAAAGAAAAGGAAATGTCCATAAAAGAAAAGAAAGTTAAATGTTTTTGTGGATAATAATAATAAGAAATCAAGTCGACCATTTAATTTTAAAGTGATTAGATATGTCCTTAATTTCACTAAAAAACTTGAAATTTAATTTTTTGTTAATTTTCCATTACATGGTCAATTTTCATAATTAAATGTTTTTGTCATAATTTGTACTTTGATTTTAATGCATGAGTACATTCTGATTAACAGCTACCGCAGAGCCTGATGCCCAGCATTCTTTAGGTTTATCATGGTCTGCAGGGATAACTCCAGAGAACATTGCTAAGTCTAAATGGATGGTTCCACTTAATGCAAGTATCAGTGGATATTCAAAGCGATCAGCAAGTATGTATATTTCTTACAAACATTTATTGTAGTGACTTTGTCTCACTTAAATATAACACCACATTTTCATGTCCCTGCTGTGTGTTTTGCACTTAAAAATTTGACAAGTTGTTGAATTCTACAACCATGTGTTGAAAAGATACATTTTTTTTAAAAGAACCTTAGCTTAAGAAAAGTATAATTGTCAGTAAGTCTTTGAAATTTATAGCTATCATGAATAATGAAAATGTTTTGGATGGCTATAACTTTTTTTAGCCAGTGTTGTTTTGAATTCAGCAATTTTGTTTGAATCACATATTTCTCAGTTTTAGTAGACTTCACCACTTTTGTTGTTTCATAAAAGGCACATTATTTTCTTATTGACTAGTGTTTATTTTTTATGAAAAAGAGTGTATAAAGTCCATTTGAAAAACTACATGCATCAGTTGATAAGAATTCAATTTTCTAAACCAACAAGACCTAACACAGTAAGTTTAACCTTGTGATAGGTCTAAAATAATCTGCAAACTATGCATGCTTTGCAATTACAAAAGGTAATAGATTATGTGAACATGATATTCCTGTGATTTTCTCAGGCATAAATAGCCTTCATCGTCAAAGCATAAGCAGTGGTCCAAGGCTAAGCTTTGGTAGCAGTCCTCGTCATAGTTTTGGGCTTGCCCCATCAGATGTTTATCATGGCAAGTATAGGCTGCATCCCTTGATGTTTGTTTTAACTTCTTGTATGAAAATATGTAACAATTACAATGAAAATCTTCATAAAATAGAAAACAAGTAAAAGCTCTGGTTTTGTTTGTTTCTTTAGTTTGCTTATTTTGATTTTTAGCTCATCCATGTCATCTGGCACACATGTGCTAACCTATTAACCTATTTTTGAACAAAGTTTTTTTTCAAAAACCATTTAGCAAATTAAAACCAAATGTGGCAATATTCATTTTTATTGTGTTTAGTTTCTAAAGTAATATCTGATGCTCCTACAGACAATATAACCATGTTGTCATACTTAAACATAGAGCTTAAATTAATGCTACTTCAAGATTTTTTTTGTAAACATACTCATAAAAATCACTTATAAAGTTTCATGTTTACTCCCAAAAGAAATAAATTGGACTAATTTATCTTATTTATGTCCATAAAACAAATGAAAAGTTGTATTTAGATTGATTTAATTTGTATAGAGGTTCCATTTTTAAAATCCTTGAAAAAAAGTTTAAAATGTACCTATACACTTCTTTTGTAATTTAGTTAACCGTGTTCCTGGTCATTTTATAGAAATAAAAGATAGAGATAAATTTAATAGTTCAACAGTGAGCATGCCTTTGATATGACCTTTTGTGCTAAGGCGGTGTAAAGCAAACACATTCAAACAACAGCAAGAACTTATTACATATACATTTTCTATGATGCCATCCAAAATTCCTGTGGAGAACACTTAAAATTCACCTAGTTTCAATTTTGGCTCCCACAGTCAAACACTGTTTTACTTGTAACCTTATGGGAAAAACTGTAATTTCTTTTATGAACTGAAATTTTCATTTTCTTTTTGAAGTATCTTTTGTTCCTTGTTTTGCTTAATTAAATATAATTAAACCAGAGTATTTTATTTGTTTGTAATATCACTGTACGAGATTCAGTTAGTTGTGTATCCTATATTGGCTGCATTTTTTTTTACATGTTGTTAAGATAGTTTGAATGATTAGACAGTGTATGTTTGTATGTAACATGTATCTATTTAGTCGTAGGGAACATAGAACACATGAACATAAATTTGTTATAATATACATACTTACACCAAAAGACGTTAAATGTTATTGGATATCCTGCATTTATCATGCTTCACCATAAAATTAAGATCAAACTTCTGAAAGACACCTCCTGAATAATTGAAAACTATCCTTTTGCATTAACTTTTATGTCTCGGTGTAAACTAGATAAACCCCATAGGGCTTATGATCTTAGTTGATGTATCTTTTACTGACCATTTGTAAAACATTCAGTAAACATCAATGCGACAACTTTACCATTAACAGTGTTTATAAATACATTGATTGATTGATTAGTTGGTGTTTAACGCCACTTTCAGCACTATTGTGCTATTTCCTGGTGGTCAGTTTTTATTGGTGGAGGAAGCCGGTGTGCCCTTGAGAGAACCACCGACCTTCGGTAGGAAAACTGACAATCCTAGTCAATTAAGATTGGAGTCGAGTACACCTGCCATGTGCGGGATTCAAACTCACAACCTCAGTGTTGACAGGCTAGTGATACAGTAGTTCGACTACTTAGACCACTCAACCACAGGGTCCTGTTTATAAATACAAGTTTAGAGGTCAATATGCATTCTCATACATAGCTCTTTATGACCTCATGGCCAAGGAATTGTGAGTCATAATTGTGATACAATTCTACATTTATGATCAAAGACTTACATTATAGAAGTATTCAAAGTACACGTTTGAACTAAAAAAAAATCAAACTATTCTAAAATACTAATAAATTTGAAATATATATCATTGGCACTCATACCACATCTTCTTATATCTATGTGTTCAAAGGAGTAAAACCCCTAGTTTAATATCAAGTATTGTGCTATTTAAATAGCCAGTAAAACTAGTTAAGTTTTATAAAAAAGAAAACACACAAAATCATTGGGTTGTGGGCTTTGAATTTGTGGTTTGTAGGTTTTTATTTTATGATTTTAGACTTTGCAGTTTATATATCAATGAAGAAATAAGCTTTTTCTTTTGTATTAAAATCTTTGGTTTTTATTGATAATAAAATCCATGAAAATTCTTATCATATTGGGAAAAAAATAACCAAATAAATAAAAAAAGATATTTTCATAAAATCCATGAAAATTCACTTTAAAAAATTGAATGAGGATGAGGGGATAACAGAAAGATTATCGGTAGCTGTTCTGCATGTGGCTTTTTGTTAGAATGCATGAAAAGGCATTTTTTTTAATAAAATTTTATGCAGTAAATATATAAGTTGATTGATATCATTACAATTAAATATATAAAGGGAAATATTTATAACTTTGCATTTCATTTTATAAATAATAAAAATATAATTGCATATGCCTTGAATAGTTTGTGTATTTATGTAATAAATGATCATGCTTTATGATAATATTTTTGTAGCCATGTATTAGTGCATTTGATTACAAAAGCACTTTTGAAACATGAAATTATTAAATATAGCAAGAGTATGAAAAATGAGCAAATTTGCAATTACACATGACCCCAAAAAAGTATGGTACCCAGGCTATTTAAAAATGGTTCCATTACAAAGGTAAAGCATGGCTTAATTGAGTATGCATAACAAATTTTAATGTTAGGTAATTAAAAAACCGGCTCATTAAAACTTTTTCAAAAGAGATGAAATATAAAAGAAAGTGAAAGCTTGAATAAATTAAACTCTTACTTTGGGATACTGAATGAGGGTCTAAAAGAGGAAGTATATGTCCTGAAATATTGTTGAAGGATTAGATATGACTATGTAATGGACTGAATAAATGAAAGCTAAAAATGGAGTTACAGTAATAACATTTAGTAGATACCTTGCTCAAGCTATTGGCAAAGTCCACAAACATTTTTACATCACTCAAAGATAAGAAATTTTTAACTAGTATGTAGACATTTTTGCAAACATTTTAAAGGATGTGGATCTTCATCCTGTCAGACATTGCTTTAAATTAATAAATGATATATAATTTGTTTGCCTTCATTTACTTTAGAGTTAGGGTTCAGTTTAGGGTTAAGGGTAGGTTTAAGGGTTGGTTTTATGATTAAGTATGGGTAAGGGTTGGTTTTAGGATTAGGGCTTATTCAGTATAACCTTACACCTGAATATTTAAGAAGAGAAAGTTCTGATTATGCAGACATTTAATGAACTTGGAAGAAACAAATTTTATTGTCAAAAGTGATTCATTTTAATGTGTTTCTTTCTGTCCTACAGTCTATATGTCATTTGATCACAAATATCATCATAGATTAGCAGGTATTTGTTATCATATATTTGTTAATTTTTTGTTTTAATCTACATTGTGTTTTTTTTTTGTGATTTATAAATATTTGCTTATATGCATGATTTTGTTCACAAATATTTTGTGTTTTGACTGAAAAAAAATGCTCCGATTTTCCTACTTTGAATTTGTTTATTGCAGATTTTTGTTGTTGGAACTTTCCACGTTATTGTTTAATTTTCATGCATCTTCAATTTATAGAAGGGCGGAGTTGTTCAAGATGTTGATGAACTTTTTGTGGTTCATGATAGAAATATTTCAATAAAAAAATATTGAACAATTGAGGTCATCATTTACATTCATAGTTTTCATTACATAAATCATGTACAATTGTTTCACTTGTAGGTCGACCTGATCTTTACCATACCTTAAATAGGATCGCTGATTGCTCAGTAAACAAACCATATAATCGTATGTTAATTCAAATTATTTGGGAATGTATACCCCTCTAACAATAGAATAGGTCCATTAAATTTTTTGAATGCATTTCCATATTCTGCAATCTGTGTCTCAATTTGGTCAATATTAAATTTTTAATTCATTTCTAAATATCTGTTGGTTGCTTTACATCCAGTGGCAAACATTACATACATATTCATGGTACAGCTCTATGTATGTAAAACAACAATGGTTTACTCATATTTACTATCATTTTATGACACTCTAGATTTATTGTATTTCACTGAAATTTCACTGTTAATTATAAGTTTAATTTGTGTGCATTCATCTATTTATGCAGAGAAGTTGTATTTTAGTGAGTTCTTGTTTTCATGGTTTTGGCAAATTCTACATATACATTATACCTATAGGAAATTTTTGGTTTACCTTGTTCCCTGAAATCTATAAAAAAAAAAAAACAAGTATTCTCAAATAATATTAAATCCTCAGTAATGTATGAATACAGGGGGTTTGAAATGATTCACAGTCCATCCCTCTTTCAGTCCATCTTTCCATCTGGTTATTGGATGATAATTTAACTATTGGTTGATCAAATCTTTTGAAATTTGAACACAACACCATGGACCATAAGATATAGGTCAAAATTCAGTTTTGACATTTACTGCATGATCGTCTGTCCCTTATTTGTCTTTCAAATAAAATTTCCCTAGTGGATAATGAATGTTCCACTTGCCTGTATTTTATAGGGTTCTGGATGAGAGTAAATGTTCCACTCACCTGTATTTTATTGGGTTCTGGATGAGAGTAAATGTTCCACTCGCCTGTATTTTATTGGGTTCTGGATGAGAGTAAATGTTCCACTCGCCTGTATTTTATTGGGTTCTAGATGAGAGTAAATGTTCCACTTGCCTGTAATTTATTGGGTTCTAGATGAGAGTAAATGTTCCACTTGCCTGTATTTTATTGGGTTCTAGATGAGAGTAAATGTTCCACTCGCCTGTATTTTATGGGGTTCTGGATGAGAGTAAATGTTCCACTTACCTGTATTTTATTGGGTTCTAGATGAGAGTAAATGTTCCACTTGCCTGTATTTCATTGGGTTCTAGATGAGAGTAAATGTTCCACTCACCTGTATTTTATTGGGTTCTAGATGAGAGTAAATGTTCCACTTGCCTGTAATTTATTAGGTTCTGGATGAGAGTAAATGTTCCAATCACCTGTAATTTATTGGGTTCTGGATGAGAGTAAATGTTCCACTTGCCTGTAATTTATTAGGTTCTGGATGAGAGTAAATGTTCCAATCACCTGTATTTTATTAGGTTCTAGATGAGAGTAAATGTTCCACTCGCCTGTATTTTATTGGGTTCTGGATGAGAGTAAATGTTCCACTCGCCTGTATTTCATTGGGTTCTGGATGAGAGTAAATGTTCCACTTGCCTGTAATTTATTGGGTTCTGGATGAGAGTAAATGTTCCACTCGCCTGTATTTTATTGGGTTCTGGATGAGAGTAAATGTTCCACTCGCCTGTATTTTTTTGGTTCTAGATGAGAGTAAATGTTCCACTGGCCTGTATTTTATGGGGTTCTGCATGAGAGTAAATTTTCCACTTATATTGTGCTGTAACACCACTGTCCCAGGTTAGGGGAGGGTTGAGCGCTTACAAACATGTTTAACCCAGCCACATTCTTTATGTGTCTATCCTAAGTCAGGAGCCTGTGGTCATTGTAGTTCAGTGGTTGTAGTTGGTTCATGTCTGTCATATTTGTTTTTCGTGAATTGTTGTGTTATAAATTAGGCTGTTTCTTTTCTCAATTGAATTGTTTCATATTTTTCATGTCAGGGTCTTTTATAGCCCACTATACTGTATGGGTTTTTCTCATTGTTGAAGGCTGTACTGTTGCCTATAATTGCTTACATCCACTTTATTTGAACTTTGGTAGATAGTTGTCTCATTGGCAATCATACTACATCTCCTTATTTTTATATATAAGACCTTTCTAGCGCACCATAGATTTTAGCCTTTCCTTGGCTTCTATAGATGAATGTGAGACAAGTATTTTAGTCCTCTAAAACAGTTCTGTGGTCTCTTAGATATGTTTAGATTTTGGTTTTGTGTAAAATTGAAGTTGTTGATATAGAAATAATAAATTGGAAGTTGTTGATATGGAAATAATTGAATTTTTTTACTTTATTTTATGAAATCCTCATTTTGAACTGAATAGTCCATTAATTTCATTATAAATTCAGTGAAATATTATAAAATCAGACTATATCTGCTAATTACTACTAAAATGCATGTAATGTATATATTATATACATTGTAGATATATATATATATATATATATCTGTACTTAGATATTTCCTTGCATTACAATGAATACATGTCAATCAAGTGTATATTTTATAACTGGTCATTACAATTTAGTTACTACATGTACGACATGTATTTGAAAATAAATGCTATTGTTGTGATGCTAATCCATTATTTTGTCACAATTTTCCATCAAAATTGATATAATTTTATAGGTTCATTAGAATGAATTTATAATAAAACATGTCAAAGTTACTCAAAATTGTAAAAAAACAGAACTCCCATAGACATTTGAAAGCTTTTGAATTACTACACTGATTATCAAATTTTTTTGAGGGGAGATCAACTACCATTATGAAAGATAACTTGAATAGTAGAATTATTCTCAAGTAAGGAACTAGCATCTTGAAAAGTAAGTTATCAAATAGTTAGTAGTTTGAGATAAATTAAAAAATGGGAGAATGGCAGAATTTGGTTAGGAGATGATGAAAATTTAAGAATTAGTTCAAATGGCCTAAAATGAAAAGTATGTTATCTTTTACATATGCTTATAATGAGACTACCAAGGAGGGTAACCATAGTGATATTCATCCAATTTTATGAAATTGTATGCATGTGATCATATTTTCTGACTGCTTTGTCTTGTAAATGTATAATACTTTTCTAATTGCATATGAATTGAGATGGGTAGTTCATTGAGGTGTCTGTTGAAGTTGAATTTGAATTCATTGTCTTTCATTGCATGGGTGCATCAGGGAATTGAGCATTAGAAAGTTTGTTGAAAATTTCTTTGAACGTTACATTATGATGCTTTGTTCATATTCATCAAAATGATTATAAGAAACTAAAATTATTTTCGAGACAACATTCGGTTCATTAAAGATAATTGTACTACTGTGACCATTGTCAGAACATTTTCATGAACCTTCAATTTCAGAATGACTTTAAGGTATTTTTTACAGAGAGGGATTTATTAAGGAGTATAAGATATATTTATTAGTTATTGATGTGATAGCTTGTACATCAGTATAATTATGATTACAACCAACCTATAACATCTAGCTATAGTACATGAGTACAACTTTTATGCTTACAAGTACATCATTATAACTATCCTATTACAAGTACATCATTATAACTATCCTATTACAAGTACATCAGTATAACTATCCTATTACAAGTACATCATTATAACTATCCTATTACAAGTACATCAGTATAACTATCCTATTACAAGTACATCATTATAACTATCCTATAACAAATACATCCTTATAACTATCCTATAACAAATACATCCTTATTACTATCCTACTACAAGTACATCCTTATAACTATCCTATTACAAGTACATCAGTATAACTATCCTATTACAAGTACATCAGTATAACTATCCTATTACAAGTACATCATTATAACTATCCTATTACAAGTACATCATTATAACTATCATATTACAAGTACATCATTATAACTATCATATTACAAGTACATCATTATAACTATCCTATTACAAGTACATCATTATAACTATCCTATTACAAGTACATCAGTATAACTATCCTATTACAAGTACATCAGTATAACTATCCTATTACAAGTACATCCTTATAACTATCCTATCACAAGTACATCCTTATAACTATCCTACTACATGCACATCATTATAACTATCCTATTACAAGTACATCATTATAACTATCCTATTACAAGTACATCAGTATAACTATCCTATTACAAGTACATCAGTATAACTATCCTATCACAAGTACATCATTATAACTATCCTATTACAAGTACATCAGTATACTTATGATTACAACCAACCTATTACATCTAGCTATAGTACATGAGTACAACTTTTATGCTTACAAGTACATTAGTACAACTATCCTATTACAAGTACATCATTATAACTATCCTATTACAAGTACATCATTATAACTATCCTATTACAAGTACATCATTATAACTATCCTATTACAAGTACATCATTATAACTATCCTATTACAAGTACATCATTATAACTATCCTATTACAAGTACATCATTATAACTATCCTATTACAAGTACATCATTATAACTATCCTATTACAAGTACATCATTATAACTATCCTATTACAAGTACATCATTATAACTATCCTATCACAAGTACATCAGTATAACTATCCTATTACATGTACATCAGTATAACTATCCTATTACATGTACATCATTATAACTATCCTATTACAAGTACATCATTATAACTATCCTATTACAAGTACATCATTATAACTATCCTATCACAAGTACATCATTATAACTATCCTATTACAAGTACATCAGTATACTTATGATTACAACCAACCTATTACATCTAGCTATAGTACATGAGTACAACTTTTATGCTTACAAGTACAATAGTATAACTATCCTATTACAAGTACATCAGTATAACTATCCTATTACAAGTACATCATTATAACTATCCTATTACATGTACATCAGTATACCTATGTTTACAGCTAACCTATTACATGTACCTGACACAAGGTCAGATGCTAGTGAGTAACAGATGCATCAGTATATCGGCACCAAGGATTGATTTTACTCTTATATATTTTATTTTAAAAATTCCAGGCCAAATAATTTTACCCTGTAAATTATTATTTCAAAGTTTATTGAATTCATATACTTATTATTGTAAAACATGTTAGGAACATAGGTTCCCTTTGTATTTGTTATTTTTCTTAAGTTATTTACCTGAAAAAAATATTTGTAATATTTTTTTCTGTCTATGAAGAAATAACATCGAAAATATGGTGCACACTGAATAACCTGTGTAGCAGGTTATTTAAAGGTGTGCACCATATTTATTAGGTTATTTCGAATAGACAGAAAAAATGTTACAGTCATTCCTTATAATTTAATTCTATTTTTAAGGAGTAAATCATGAAAAAAACATTGATGACGTAAAGGTCACATGACAAAATTATGTCTATGAGCTGATAGACTAAAATCTTTCAGCCAATAAGAAGATGTGTTACATCCAAAATTAAATTATATGACTATATTTATGCAGAGTTCAAAGTTAAATCATTTTTCAGTTTTTTAGATACATGTATTCTATTTAAACCTGAGATGGATTCTCTACACATGTCAAATTCTATGAATTTATCACATAAGTCCTATTTGCACCATGAGAGCTCATCTTGCAGCTTTCCCATTCACAAATACAGAAAGAGACATGAAACCTTAAGAAGGAATGTAGATAAGGCCTGGAATTTTGCTTATCACTTATCAGTTTATGGTACATAACAAGATATTGGGTTGTGAATAGTATATGATGGATGACCTAGAAATTCTTTAAGTAGAGAGTGAAATATTGCATGTTGTTTTGCTGGTGTGTGTTAGTTATCAAAGTTCTCTCTTGTTTGTGCTATTGTTAGCTTGATATGCAGTATTGACATTTATCTCTCCTCTATTGAAAACTGTATGTTGAGATCTAGATGTCTTTTGATTTTTGTTTGTTGGTTTGCTTTTTCATTGGCTGGCGCCCTACAACACATTGTTATGCCCAGCCTCCAATAAATAGAAGAAGGCATAAGTTTTCTGGTCTTTAATATTCTGTTTGTCTGTGCAGAATTATGTTAAAGTTTTTGGTTAAGATATGTGACCTGGAAGCTGAGTACTCATCAACTAGAAACTTAGTACACAGGTTCATTATGATATAAACATTTTAAATTATATGCTAGTTTACTATTATGACCCCCATTAAGGTTTGCTGGTCATAGAAATAATGATAGTGTGACACAAGAACATTCTCAGGTTAAAGTTCTTTGGTACGGTAGTTTTCTACATCAACTTTAAACTTAACATATTCTTACATTAATTATTTTTTATAAAGTTATTGTAATTCTATTTTGAATTTTATTTCTTAAAAAAAAATATTTTAATATTTCTTTCTAAGAATGGAGATTTTTTATAAGCATATTACTTTTATAAATTTTCTTGATCAAGATGACAGTGGTGAAAGTGCATGGGAAATGGAGTCGCATGAGTTTTGTTTTGGATTATTATTTGTTTTGAAGGATGCCATTGCTTTGGGAGTTTTTCATGTGAAATGAACATGAACCTTTCTTTTAAAAAAAAGGAAAAATAAGCAATTTTCTTATAGTTTATTTCAAAAGAATTAAGTTGTAGTAAGTAACTGTAATTCATCCTGCTTACTCTCCAAAAAAATAGAGATTGAAACAATTCTGATGTTATCATTTTTTTACTTATTTCTTCAAGTTAACAGTGATGTAAAAAACATATAATTTAATGATAGTCACATTTATATATGTTAACAATGAATACTTTGTATAATAGCAGAATTTCTCTTTTTCACATTGAGTTGTACTAAGCATTCTTGTTTAAGATATTATTGAATAGAAATCATATTCTGATATTCATTGCATATTTATTGAAAAATGAAATTTCTAAATAAAAAAAATTGGCTGTTGTATATTTTTAGGTGGAACCAGGAAGTCACAGAATACCAGTTCAGGCTATGTGAAGGAATACATTAAAAAAAGAAACCTCATTCTGACATGTGTTGCCTCATTGATAGAGTCTATGATCACATGGCATAATCCATTAGACAATCCAGAAAGGAAATTCCCTGATGATGACAAAGTGACATTGTGGTTAAATCAGCCAATCACTGAGAAGACATGGAGAGAGCATGTTAGGCTATCATGGGATATTTCTCCTCTCTTAGCTGTTTATCTACCTCTGAGGTAAGAATTTTACTTTGTTATAATTTTTTTACCAGAAAGACATTAATGATAGTGCAACTATAAAATTTTATCATCTGTAAGTGTAACACACTTGTTTTCAATTTTTAGGCAGTTAAGCTGCCTTATGCGAGCACCCTAGATTTGTGTTCTACCCAATAAATGCTGAAATACGTGCCATTGTTATTATCTAGCTGGCTATTATGTTATTTATAACTATTTGGACATTTTTTTAATACTTTTATTTCTGGAATACAAAAAATATGACCAGAAAAACCTTAAATGATCGTCGACCTACCCAAAACTTTTGAAGTTGCACATAGGAAGTAGTGCTCAATAGAAATCCGTACTTAGTTTATTATCCCCTGTGCTTTTGGCTACGATTTCAAAGAACAATTGTATAAAATATTTCATCGCCGAAAATCGGTAATTACAAGTCGTTTATATTTCCCAAATGGCAAAATGCGCAGGAATATTGTTCATGTACAACAAATCTTTATGATAGAGGAAATATAGTTATTTGTCCCCGGCTTAGTATATTTCTAGGATTTTGATTGGATAACGCACGTCGTTACAAAACCCATAGCCCCTGGGTGTTGCTAACCCATATACCCGGACGTTGCTATCCATTACTCCGGGGGACGTCACACGCGTTTTCCTTAGTTCCACGGTTGTTCCTTGTGAAATATAGAATTCTGTAGATTATTCATGATGTCTGTAATTAAATATGTAATCCACTAACGATGTTATCTTATTTTGTCGATCATTTGCACTCATTTTAGTAAATGCATCACTTGGCTGCCACATTGTCTATGAATGCGACTACTGATCTAGCTATGCAAATGACCCACGTTGACGTCACACCGTCTATGATGTAACTCTCACAACATTGAGCACCAAATTCGACCCACTCCAGTTTCTCTGTGTCCGTATTAAAAACGTCTTGTATTTGATTACCTGTAGGGTTCTACCAAAGGTAGTAGTACCCTACACCCGGTAAAAGATATGTCAAATTCCCAAATTTCAATAAAAGATTTTTAGAAAATGAAATAAACGTTGCTTTCACGTTACACTTTGTGGTCGAATTTCTCTAAAAATCGACAGATTTGGACTAAGACCGGGGATAAATTCGTTATCTACGTTCATATCCGTAGATATTGATATTTAACACCCTTCAGTACCCTGTACTTGGATACTTCAGGGTGTTAAAATATCCATATCTACGGATATGAACGTAGATAACATGTGGGCGGTAATTTTTTTTACGACCGCAAAAATTAAAAAATTTTTGGTCGTATATTGGTATCACGTTGTAGTTGTAGTCAGCGTCGTCCCAAGACAGATGGTTTCCGGATAATAACTTTAGTATAAGTGAATAGAAATCAATAAAATTTTAACACAAGGTTTATAACCACTAAAGGAAGGTTGGGATTAATTTTGGGGGTTATGATCCCAACTTTTTAGGAATTAGGGGCCAAAAAGGGGCCCAAATAAGCATTTTTGTAGTTTCCAGACAATAACTTGTGTTAAAGTGTATGAATATCTCTGAAATTATACCACAAGTTTCCATACTACAAAGGGATGGTAAGGATTGACTTGGGGTGGGGGGGGGGGGGGTTATGGCTGAAAAGTGGAAAAACAAGGGTTTTTCTGGTTTAAGGACAATTGAGACAATTTAAAAGCAGTGTAAGGGAGGTAATCCAAATCAATTAAAAGAACACTGTTTGATTACCTCCCTAACACTGCTTGTAAATTATGTATTAAGCAATGATGATTGTCTTGAGGTGATTAGCTGTCAATTTATTTTTAGCAGTTATTAGTAATTAGTAATTAGTATTAACTTTAGCCATGACTATGTATGTCATTTTATATTTTAAAATTTTTATGATGTATTTAAATGGGTAATTATGGTTGCAAACTCCATTAGAAATTTGAATTGAGATACTGACCATATCTCGTGAGGGAAATTTTTTTTTTGGGGTATAAGGGAAAGGGGGGAAAAAATTGGAGGGGGGACAATTTTTCTCATTTCAGATTTCAGAAATTAAAAGAAAATTTCTTAAAATATTTTTTTTTTGGGGTTAATATTCAACAGCATAGTGTATTGCACAAAAGGAAAAAAATTGAATATAAATTCAAATCATATTACCAATTTGAAGTTATTCTGTGTCAGAAACCTATTATGTGTCAAAAATTTAGTTACAATCCAAATTCAGACCTGTATCAAGCATGAATATTGTGTCCATTTTGGCCCCAACTTTTCACGGTTGGACATCTGCGGTCGTATCCAGCTGCGCTCAGCGAAGCAATTTATTAACTTATCTTGCCAAATAAGGTTGTTGTTATTTTATGAATGAAACGAGGTCATGAAACAGATGCGGAAATCGACGTTGATGGGATGTTTTAAGTAATGTGAACAACTCGTCCCCGAGACAAGTCAGACCGAATCCACTCAAACCGTCCAAGAAGACAACTTTGACCGTTTATCAGATTTACTTAGGGTTTCATAAAATATTAGACTAACATGTCTAGCTGAGCCATTAATCTTTTGTTTGTGCATTGGGGTCTATTTAGGGGTATTTGGAGGGGCCTGAAGAAGGGAGGGGTTTACTATAGAACCCTATGGGATTTTATTTTTTTAAATTTTCAAATGACTATTTCTTGAAAACAGTAAGTGATAGACACATGCAGTCTTCAGTAATGAGAACAGGATAAAAAAAAATCAACCAAAATATAGGGTGAGTTCCTGGGGGTCATCCCAACCCCCTTCAATTTGAAAATGTACTTTTATCTTGTAAACCGTCACGATCCCCACCCCTAAACAATATATATACTTGTATGGGACAATAAAAGAAATAAAATGAAAATAATTTGGGGGAGTCCCCGGTGTCGTCCCACCCCCTCCTGTTTGAGAACTTGGAAATGGTCGAGATCCCCACCCCTAAACCATATATATTCATGTATGGGACAATAAAACAAATCAAATGAAATATAGGGGAGTCCCTGGGGTCACCCCACCCCCTCCTGTTTGTTAACTTGTAAATGGTCGAGATCCCCACCCCTTAACCATATATATTCATGTATGGGACAATATAACAAATCAAATGAAATGTATGGGGAGTCCCTAGGGTCACCCCAACCCCTCATGTTTGAGAACTTGGAAATGGTTGAGATCCCCACCCCTAAACCATATACATTCATGTATGGGACAATAAAACAAATCAAATGAAATATAGGGGGAGTCCCTGGGGACACCCCACCCCCTCCTGTTTGAGAACTTGTAAACAGTCAAGATCCCCACTCCTAAACCATATATATTCATGTATGGGACAATATAACAAATCAAATGAAATATATGGGGAGTTCCTCGGGTCACCCCAGCCACCTCCTGTTTGAGAACTTGGAAATGGGCGCGATCCCCACCCCTAAACCATACATATTCATGTATGGGACAATAAAACAAATCAAATGAAATATAGGGAGTCCATGGGGACACCCCACCCCCTCTTGTTTGAGAACTTATAAACGGTCAAGATCCCCACCCCTAAACCATATATATTCATGTATGGGACAATATAACAAATCAAATGAAATATTTGGGGAGTCCCTGAGGTCACCCATCCCCTCCTGTTTGAGAATTTGGAAATGGTCGAGATCCCCACCCCTAAACCATACGTATTCATGTATGGGACAATATAACAAATCAAATGAAATATAGGGGGAGTCCCCTTGGGTTACACCACCCCTTCCTGTTTGAGAACTTGTAAACGGTCGAGATACCCACACCTAAACCATATTTATTCCTGTTCATCATTTCAAAAAGTTTGAATGACATACATTGTTTATTATAAAATTTTATTGATGCAAAAAATGAGTCTAGGTTAATTGAATTTACTTTAATTATTTATTAAATTATTTCTGGGCCTATAATAATTTTCATTTATGGCTCATTTTAAAGAAAACATATAAATCTTTCAAGCAGTGTAAAGCCCGAGAATGTTTGACCAACTGTTTTATAATCACCTGTCATTTTATTCCAAACTTGGTATGGAGTAACATCATGCACTTGGGGGTGAAGATGGGGGTCATTTACATTGATATATGAGTTGCTTTTGAAAACCTTGATGAAATATTAATTAATTTGCCTTAATAATCAATTTATTTAATGAACATAAATGTACAATATACGAATGTTTAATGTTTGTTCTTTCAAATCTTAAAAAAAAATTGAAGCAACACTGCCACAGTTTTCATAATTACGTTTGCCTTGGTTTTTGGTTAACTGCCTACAGCGCTTACAGTGCTTTGATTATATCAACCTGTACTAGAAGTAAATCTCAAGGACGCTTACTGTGACTTGACTGCAAGTGTTGCTCTCTACCTATTGCACTTTATTAAAATTCTGACCAAATTGCAATTTGTTTTATCAAACCAAACTGTTTGACTGGTCAGAAATTTAAACGAACTGCTGTAGAAAACACCAGTCAAGTGGTTAAATTGCAAGGTGATATAAAAAAGCATACTTACAATCATATTAACCTTTAATTAACCCCACTATATTGATATTATGAAAATGAATTGCAGAATTTCTATACATAATTTTATTGTGATTGTCATTGGAAAGGTGAAAGGTAGTAATTTTTTAACATTCAGGACATTCAGAATATATTTTTAATTATTATTATTCCCCAACTAACATAAAATGAAAAGTCATCAGGGGGGGTAGCAAATTGTAATTGGCATACTACCTATAGGGTAGAGAGCCATGTTGATTTATTTGCTCTGGCAGATGTAGAAGTTACACCCACAAACAGGTCTCCACATTCAGTATTATAGATGTTGGATATATATGTTTTGTAAGTTGTTACAAGTACAAAATGGAAAAAAACATACATGAAACTTTGTACATAAAGCAGGCTGTTAGTTTTCTCATTAGAATTGTTTTACATTTGTCATTTCAAGGCCTTTTATAGCTTACTATGCAGTATGGGTTTTTCTGATTGTTGAAGGCCCTCAGTGGCGGATCCAGAGGGGGGCGTAGAGGGCGTACGTTGCTTTTTTTTTTTTTTTTTTTTTTTTTTTTGTAAAATGATTAATCAGACTAGACTTCATAAACTTTTCCATTTCCCGTGTATTTAATTTTTATGCAACAATTCTTTACTGATAAAGATATTTTTTCGCTCGTATTTACTGTAATATATTATTGATTATGTCCAAGTCATGTTATTCTCTACGGTGGAGTTGACCAGTTCGTCGAAAAAAACGTCACTCAGTCATTTTGAAATTCAAATTACAGTAACACATTGCTTAGGCTGAGGATGAAAAGCATGACGCCTTCAAAGCGACAAAGTATTGAGCAAGAACGTATTGACTTCTATTTCACAATTCCACCCAACAGAAAGTAATAGTCTATTACACTCTCATGAAAAAAAAAGTTCCACAGCAATATTATTTACCTACGAAAACATGTTTAACCCCACACGCCCCAGCCCATTAATAACATTGCTGAATAGTGATCCCCAGTCAGTAAGCCCTAGATATAGATTTAAAGTCTAAGGTACGGATCATTTGATCTGAGGGGGCAGTCTGAGATATTTTAGAGAAACAATTCTGACCTTGATTTTTGCCTTAAACAAAAATTCTGGCCGTATCTGGATTGAAAACAATAATCTTGTCCACTTTTTTGCTATTAGAAAAAAATATTTTCAACAGAATTATTTAGCATTAAATGAAAATGATGAATAAAAAACGGGCGTAATTTTTTTTTTTTTGGGGGGGGGGGGGGGGGGGGTTGCATGTGAATCCCATATCTGACCGGACTGCAACCTGCCTGCTGGGTGTGGCCTATATGTCTCCATGTGTCGACCGCCATTCACAACTTCATTGTCATTTCCGACTAATTCGTAGCCTTTTGTTGATTTGGAACCCCTCACTTCCTTTGTTGGGTAAAACATTTCAACCAAACATTTGGATGAAAATTGCTTGTTTGTCTTTCTTCGTGTCGGTCGGTCGTATTGTAAATTTCATTGAATAGCTGTATATCTTGTTTACAACAAGAAATCTGTGAGGTTATGCTAACTAACCATACAATAAACGAGAATTTTCCATCGGTCCATTTTTTACTGACAAATCCCACATCAAATATATTAATTAGTACATAGCTTTGGATCCATCCAATCATTTCATAATAGACAATTGATGGAAAGAATACGGCACCAGAAATGTCCAACCCCTACACTTTAACTATAAAATGCATTTTACACTTATTTTATGTTTTTTAGCCAAAAAAAGGTCCCAAAAAAATTTTCGCCTCGCTCCGCTCAGCCACCTTTAATACTACACCCCCCTTTCCAAAATCCTGGATCCGCCCCTGGCCGTACTGTGATATATAGTTGTTGACTTCTACCTGAGTTGTTCTCTGGTGAAGAGTCTCATTGGCAATCATACCACATCATTATTATAAACATACTGCCCTTGGATGAAGGTGTTAGAGTAGATTAACACACGAGGGAAAAAATCATCATCCAAGACGAAGTGTGTTAATCACTCTAACACCTTCATCCAGGGGCAGTATGTTTTATATTATACTGAACCTTATGATTCAAGTGTGTACTATGTTATTAGAAGGACGATTGTAAAAAAATAAAGTCATAAATTAAGATAGTTTACTGAACTTTACTAATAACAACAACAAAACGACCGAAATGATGTAGAAATAAGAATTGGTAAACCTCGGCCGAAGAGGTGTTAATTGTTTTGGATTGGCAAACTTCGGGCTCAGCGGGTGTTAATTTTAGGCTATAGCACCCATTGTTATTTTTTATCACATGTTGCTATGGGTGGGCGGGGCTTATGAAAGGTTAGTGAAAATTAACAAATGCGGCGTGTCCAATGAAATGAATGGATAGTATAAGAATTTTGCATAAAGTATAATAAAAATTTATATTGTTTTAAATTGAAGATTTACCAATTCTGATATGGTGAGACGAGAAGTACGGAGGTTAGTTCGTTTAAATCCTGGTGCTGTTAGTCACATTCCAGAAGCTGTACATTTCCTAGTTACACCTCAGAGTTTAGAGGCAGAGGCAAAGGAGGTCAGTATATCAAACTCTTTTGACTCTTAGGTGTCTTCAATGTTATTCCACATCTCTTAAAACATGGAATCTTTAATTATATGTATATTTCTTCTACATTTCTACCAGTTCCCCTTCTTATTTTGTGCGGGCAGTACATGAAAAATATATTTCCAGGATGTTTACAAAAATTGTAACAATTGTTGACAATGTTTATGGTATCAGCTGGGTATAATACACAATCATTAACTTGAATTTCAACAGAGTTTCCCTAAAGTTTTATATAGATATACATGTAGTTTTTTCCTCTAAATAATGGATATATTGATATGATGAAAACATCAACATTAACAGTACCAATTTTACTGCATCAGATATGCATACAATATATGTTTCTTCAGTTATGCTTGAAGCCAAAATATTTGAAAAATCCAAAACCTTATGCCATAGTGTCCTGATTGTCATTAAGATAGACATGAAAAGAAGGAAATTATTAAAAGGTACAACAAATCAAAATCATACCTTCACCAGAAATACACCTCTTAATAGTGGGCAATTTCAAAGGCTTGTATTGCATATTGAGGAACATCTTAAAAAGCATCTACTTTGTGCTGTTTTCTATTGTGTCAACAATCAAAGCTTATTTGTTCTTTTTTTTATTTTAGATAACCCACATATTGACCTGGTGTAAAATTTCTCCAGTTAATGCCTTGTCTTACTTCTCCAGACAGTATCCACCTCATCCACTGACTGCTCAGTATGCTGTTAGAGTACTTAGAACACACGAACCTGTAAGTATCCTCCACATCCACTGACTGCCCAGTATGCTGTTAGAGTACTTAGAACACACGAACCTGTAAGTATCCTCCACATCCACTGACTGCTCAGTATGCTGTTAGAGTACTTAGAACACACGAACCTGTAAGTATCCTCCACATCCACTGACTGCTCAGTATGCTGTTAGAGTACTGAGAACACATGAACCTGTAAGTATCCACCACATCCACTGACTGCTCAGTATGCTGTTAGAGTACTGAGAACACATGAACCTGTAAGTATCCTCCACATTCACTGACTGCCCTGTATGCTGTTAGAGTACTGAGAACACATGAACCTGTAAGTATCCACCACATCCACTGACTGCTCAGTATGCTGTTAGAGTACTGAGAACACATGAACCTGTAAGTATCCTCCACATTCACTGACTGCCCTGTATGCTGTTAGAGTACTGAGAACACATGAACCTGTAAGTATCCACCACATCCACTGACTGCTCAGTATGCTGTTAGAGTACTGAGAACACATGAACCTGTAAGTATCCCCCACATCCACGACTGCTCAGTATGCTGTTAGAGTACTGAGAACACATGAACCTGTAAGTATCCTCCACATTCACTGACTGCCCAGTATGCTGTTAGAGTACTGAGAACACATGAACCTGTAAGTATCCTCCACATCCACTGACTGCCCAGTATGCTGTTAGAGTACTGAGAACACATGAACCTGTAAGTATCCTCCACATCCACTGACTGCCCAGTATGCTGTTAGAGTACATGTACTGAGAACACATGAACCTGTAAGTATCCTCCACATCCACTGACTGCCCAGTATGGTGTTAGAGTACTGAGAACACATGAACCTGTAAGTATCCTCCACATCCACTGACTGCTCAGTATGCTGTTAGAGTACTAAGAACACATAAACCTGTAAGTATCCTCCACATCCACTGACTGCTCAGTATGCTGTTAGAGTACTAAGAACACATGAACCTGTAAGTGACCTTTCAATAAATGGAGTTAATTACTTGCATGTAATTGCTGGTCAGGTAAAGATTGATAAAAAGTTGTCACAACATTGTTTGTGAACACAACTTAGTGTACCCGTGTTATCTGACATATTATTGTTTTACTAATTATACCTCCTCTACCAAAGGAGGGGTATACTGGTTCACCCTTGTCTTGTCTGTCCTTCCATCCTTCCGTTTGTGTGTCAGTTTCCATAGATTTTTTGTCCCATTTTTTTTAGGTTCTACAAATCCCAGCTTCGGGAATTTATTTTGGTCTCAGGGTTCATGTGGGCATGCTATACTGTGAAATGCATTTTCACATTCATCATCTTCCTATTTACCAAATACTTATATATTCTTACACAAAACATACAAGACTATAAATTTTCACATCCAATGCCTGTCAACTACCTGTTTTCAGAATTCTATAGAGCGCATATCATTAGTGAGCAGTAGCTCACAGTTCATTTGTTAATTCATCAATGATTCATTTCAATGTTAGTTGTAAAAATTACTTATAACTTTAAAAGGTCAGATAATATAATTTAAAACAATGTGAAATTTGGTCTTTGTCAAATGATGGTTTATTATACCCCAAGTCTTCGAGTGGGTGCTATATTGAATACACCTTGTCCATCTGTTTGTCCGTTCGTCCGTCAATTTTTTGTCCAGCCAATATGTTTGTCACATATTTCTCAGATACTACTGAACAGATTAACTTTAATTGGTAGCTTGTCAGCATTGAGTTATAAAATGTGACCACTTTCAGATCTGTCAGACACGGGATTCCTGTGTACCTATTTTTCAATATGCTAAATGAAATGAAAAAAATTGTCACACTTTACTCACATACTACTGAACAGAATTTATATATATAAGCTAACTTTATATTTTGTGAGCAGGTTGATGAGTTGTAATGTGGAGTGCTTTTGGATCTGTCAGACACCTACTTCCTGTTTCACGATACTTTCATTTTACAAGTGGGATTATGCCTAGAGCTACACGTGTGCATTATTGTTGAGAATAAAGATAAAGATTTATATTGACAAATCTCCCTCCAATTTGAGGTTGTGAAAAGTTGCTTGTTGATGTTATTAGTATACTATCTAGAACAACAAAAACAATTTGTCTCTAAATAATTTTATTATGTTGTTTCTGTCTGTTTAATAATGCTGTGTGATTATTTCTATATTTTTCAGGAAGCTTTATTGTTTTACATTCCACAACTTGTTCAGGCATTAAGGTTTGATACTGTAAGTATAGCAGATATTACTTAAAATTGTGACTGAAACAATAAATACTTCATAAAAGAGGGAGAGTTGAAAGTCACTCTTAATAAAATATCATGGTTGTTGTACATAAATACGATGACAGGAATCACTAAAAATATTGGACTGTACAACAGAAATAAAGTATGACAAAAATAAGGAACTCCAAGGTAAATTCAAAAAAGGAAAGTAAATAAAAACTGACAAAATCAAATGTTACACTTTATCAACCAATATGGAACGAATGTAAAACAACATGTCATATTCCTCACTTAGTACAGGCATTTTCAGGCATTTGGCCACACCATCCACTAACATCAATTCCACAGTAAAAATAGATATGTACAAACGAAGACAAATCCCTGTTGAAGGCCTCACTGTGACTTTGAGATGAAGAACAGCAATAAAAGCGCTATTCCTTTGCTATATATGTTTTTTGCTGTACATGTACTGATTTTGTGTGATGGATGGATACCCCATATCCTTACTTTTCTATTATCTATTGAATAACAATAATCAACACATGGTTCAGATAGTTTTAATAAAAAGGGAGCGATGAAGTCACTCCCATTAAAATTTGATGTCTGTAGTATATAAAAATGATAACAGGAAATACCAAAAATATTGGACTGTACAACAGACCACACCGACCTCCAACATCCTATTCTTCAGAAAAAAATAGACACTCAAAGAAAATAAAAAAAAACAGCACATTATGCAGATAGCATGACTTTTGGTACAGGAACAAAATTTGGTGGGGTTAAACTAGTTTTATACGCACACAAACCTCCAAGGCTGTTTTTAAAAACTGATTTAAGAATATTGAAATTTATTATTATTGCTGTGCCTTTAACATTTGAATAATTTTTTTTATGATTGGTTGAAAAATCAAGGTGTGTACTTTGTTCCTGTTGAAAGAAAAATGCTATTGTTCATATTTTATTTTCAATAGGCTATGGCATTGTGTTTTCTCAACAAATGTAGTTTTTGTTTTCTCTGTATAAAGAAATATTTTCAGTAAAAAAAGGAATATTATGAAATAAACACATGTGGGTATACAATTTGAAAAAATGTAGTCATAAAAAAAGTTCAACCAAACTACTATGTTTTAAGAGCATTTGTATGAAAATAACTTGTTGCTAATACTGTGTACACTGTACCGTAAGCTCATTGAAGGTAGTTGTAGTTCCCTCACTTTTTTGACTCAATGTGTAATTCTTTCTTTACATTGTCTTAATCAACCTTGTTGATGACAGGAACTTATTAATACAAATGTTGAGAATAATTAAGTTTATGTTTGTTTACTGTTTAACAGATGGGCTATGTGACAGATTTTATTTTATGGGTATCAAAGAAGTCTCAGTTACTGGCTCATCAGTTGTTATGGAACATGCAAACTAACAAATTTACTGATGAAGAAGCTACAATAAAAGATGGTAAGTCCTTAGTATTAGGTAACTTGATCTATGGTAATCTCTTTGACTGTATTGATCCTTATTCTTATTTCTCACAGTTGGTCCATAGCAGCATTTGTACAAATCCAATGATTTTTTGTTGATTTCATTCACCTCAAGTTTTGTTTTTGCATTCTTTTTTGTCTAATTTAAGACTTTTAGATAGAAAAATTGCAACAGATTTCCTTAAGGATGTACTTAGGTCAGGTTTAGGAATTTTTGTCAGATGTTCAGACTCCTTGGTTTTTTTCCACCATATTTTGCCCCATAACACCCATTTTTCTTTTCATATAAGACTTCAGTAGCTCATAAAGGTCATTTACCAAAATTTAAGCAAATTCTAGATTTCATTTGATTTGAGACCCAAATAATACCAATGCAAATGTGAGATAAAAGTCCGAGTCGGCCTTTTCCTGCCATTTTTATGCTCCCTCGACAAAATGTTGAGGGGCATATTAATTTACCCCCGTTCGTCCGTCTGTCCGTTCGTCGGTCCAGCTATCTCCTCCTACAGTTTTGGAGGTACAGCTTTATTATTTTGTAGGATGTTAAAACACATAATGGAGGTGTGCATGGCCTCAGGATTTTGATTTTTTTTCAAATAATCTGAAAATGACCGGTAGTTGGACTTGGTCATTTTTTTGGTACAAGCTGCATAAAGAGATCATGGTTTGTCCGGCTATCTCCTCCTACAGTTTTTGGAGATACATTTTTAAATATTTTGTAGGATGTTCAAACACATAATGGAGGTGTGCATGGCCTCAGGATTTTGATTTTTTTCAAATAATCTGAAAATGACCGGTAGTTGGACTTGGTCATTTTTTTGGTACAAGCTGCATAAAGAGATCATGGTTTGTCCAGCTATCTCCTCCTACAGTTACATCATCATACATAGTGTTTAATTTATAATTTCCTATGGTCAGGGGGGGGCATCATTTGTGTCTTACAGACAGCGTAACAATTTCAAGTTGTATGCCAACATCAATATTTGTCAAATCTAAAATATGTGGAACTATACTCATGCATATGGCAGAGCAGAAAAGGGGGGGGGGGGGGTCATTGTCCATATCTAGTTTAAAGATTATATATCTCGAAAAGTAGCTCCATAACCTATCAATATGTTTAGCTTATTTTGTTCCTTAACTAATGCTCTTCTGACTTATAGTATCAATTTTAAATTCTAGATTTTGTTAATTTCACCTAAGTACATCCTTAATATTACTTACTTTGGATTCATTATAATTCGTGGGATACCAATTTTTGTGGATTTGGTGTGTACAAATAAACGAAGAATTTAAATGTTCAATAAAGTGCATATTTTCTAAAGAGTGTATATACAGACAAATCCACGAAATCAAATATCCAGGAAAATAAAAGTTTTCCTCAGTCCACGAAAATTGGTAAAGCTGAAAATAAACAGATTGACAGTACCTCTTGTGCATTTGTCATTGTTTGGCGAATTGTTAATTTTTCAATTTACATCCACTGTACGATCAAAACCTTTTCTTACTCTGTGTAAAAATACAGTTAAGATTTCAGAAGTCAAAAGTTTAAATTGCATATGCTTATTTGAGTATGAGTATGTTGATAAATCATGTGTAAATTTCACATGTTTAATGTGTGACACTTTTTACAGAGGATATTGGTGATTTGTTAGACACACTGATGAATGATATAAAGAAATCTCTGTCAGGACCAGCATTAGAGTTTTATGAGAGAGAGTTTGAATTCTTTGATGAAATTACCTCCATATCGGGTAGAATCAGGTAAGAATGAATAAGCTTGTTTGACACCATTTAAATTTAAGTAATTTTTGCAGATTAATTGTTGTTTTCCTGTATCTGATTAAGGGGTATGTGCCTCCTCCCCTTAAATGGAAAAAAAAAATTTTTTGCCTTAAAACATGTCAAAATTTTATTCATCTCTCTCCTACACACATATCTATTAGTGTGGTGCTCCTCTACATTTGTATCCTTGATTCACACCTGTGATTTAGTGGAAAGATATATATTGGGTTATGTTTCTGACCTTACCATTGACTTCTAATTATTATTTAAGTAATTTTATGGATAAGTAATTAGGAATGTTTTGATATACACAGTGAAACCTGTTTAAAGAGACTTAAGGGAGAGCAAAACAGTGATCTCATAAGACAGGTGATCTTTTAATACAGGTTCAATCTATATAATGGTCTTATGTCACACCTGTGACAAAGAGGATACTGTAGGTAAGTAGGTAGGTCAATCATTATGAAATACACTACATAGGGACTTAAAATTAATGGTCGTATAACACAGGTGTTTGCTTAATACAGGTGGTCTCTTAAGCAGGTTTGACTGTAGTTCTTTTTGTTTTGAAATTTGACTTTTTCTTTGATTAGAATGTAGGATTCTCTTCTGCAATTGAAAATAAGCCACATTCTTTTTTCAATATAAATATAAGGAGACTTGGTATGATTGCAAATGGGTCAAATATCCACCTGATTCCAGGTGACATGGATTTAAGCAACTATAAGTCACCATACAGCCTAGAGGATTGGTGCCTTCAATCATATCTAACCCCCGCCACATTCTTTATGTGCCTGTCCCAAATCAGGAGCCTGTAGTTCAGTGGTTGCTGTTGGTTCATGTTTGTCTTATTTGTTTTTTGTAAATTTTGGTAAAAATTTGGCCATTAGTTTTCTCAGTTGAATTGAGTTCACATTTTTTCATGTCAGGGCCTTCTTTAGCCGATTATACGGTATGGGTTTATCCCATTGTTGAAGGCTGTAGGGTTGCCTATAATTGCTTAAATCCAATTCATTTAAACTTTGGTGGATAGTTGTCTTATTAGCAATCACATCACATCTCCTTTTTTTATATTCAACAATGAGTAAAATCCATACCATATGGTCAGCTTTTGAAGTCCCTGACATGAAAAATATGAAATAAATCAAATATGAAAACCAACAGCCTGAGCGACTTCAAAACGTTTGAGTTGTTCATTGTATAGCTTCTGATAAGCTTGGATTTAATAGATGACAATATTGCTAATGGATTTGAAAATAAAAGCTCTTTTACATTAGAATATACTAAATATAACTACTAGCTGTTTGATTTTTTGATTTTCATGTCAAAATTTTTCATCTATTTAGTTTCCTAATGACAATGCCTTGAACTATTAAACTCATTTAAATAACTCTTGAAAATATCTATTTACTTTTTAATACTACAAAAAAAAATGATTATATCATAGCATAAGGGAAATACAGATTTGGAGTTTGTAGTTAAAATAGATTACTTGTCAATTAGAAATGTGCATAACTCGAGGTTAAGATAATAGGCATTGTAACTTATACACATAAACAATGTTTTGTTTATTTTAGACCCTTTCCAAAAGGCCCAGAGAGGAAGAAGGCTTGTTTAGATGAATTGAAGAAAGTAAAACTGAGACATGGTACAAAGATTACTATAAATTCCTTTAACTGGCAACTGCTTTTTGGTAATCTTGTTGTAGCATGCTCGCGTGAATCCAAGAGGTCATGGGTTCAATGCCCAATTGTGTCTAAGCAAACACTTTAAAATTGGTATTCTCTGGTTCTCAGGAAGTGACAGGATACATCTATTATTAACATTGTCCTTTTAAGATTATTCAATATAAACTTTTATACAAAGGCTGAATTAAGTATCCTTAATGAATTGATAATTCTGAATTTAATGCCAGCATTTAATTATATAACTGATACTGCAAAACAAACGTTTGTTAATTTATTCCTAAGGTAACAAGATGTTGCAATAGTCAGACATCACAGCTTTATGAAATGATGGTTTTTGACCCATGCAAAATGTCCCATATACTATACTGATTAAAAAAGTTTTGCAACAAATATTAATTATAATTGTAGAAGCAACATTTTTGTAAAAAGCAATATTAGTTTCTATATGATCTCTCAACAGTTGTAAGTTACTACATACTTTAAGATTGATTGATTGTTGTTTGTTCATTATCCAGTTACTTATACTTCATGAATATATAAAGACGAGAACAAATTGACAATAAAACCAATTGGTTGGTTCTGCAAATGAGCTAACAAGAAAGAAGGTTGAGAAATGGACAGCCACTGGAAAAAGAGTTTCATTCAATAGTGGCATTGATTTTGCCTTTCAACATGAACACTGCAAAACCATCAAAGAGTTGTTTTGTATGTCTTTTAATGTATAGCGAGCCTGGGACTCTTCCTACACAAAGGATCAGATTGAATGTCACCATTTTGAACAGTTTCAGCTAATACCAAAATTGTAGACAAAAGTTGGAGAATTTAACTGCAATCATACTACATCTTTTTGATATTGTATACATTTTGTTTTGTTTCAGGGTGTTATTTACCATCTAATCCTGAAGCTATTGTAACAGAAATTGACTATAATTCTGGAACACCCATGCAAAGGTGATTACACTTAACATCACAAAGTTTGTGGACATATTTTTTAATTCCATTTTTTTCAGTCTACATCTACCAGAAGATAACAAGGTGACTGTGTCTAACAGTCTAACGACAGCCTGAAGAACAATATATGATGGCAACACCACACTCCTTCTCCTTTTCAAAGGGAATAAAAGACCAACACCAACACCCAATTACAATAACCATAACAACATACTGACATGTGAATAACATACACACATAAATAGTAGAGAACACTGAGAACAAATGATCAGATAACACAAATAAAATGTGAGAAATTTCATGTTTACAGAAAGGTTTCCTTGATGTGTTCTCCATGGCCAAAAGAGGTGGTATAAGTACCAACCAAGTCATGGCAAAACTATCAAACAAGCAATATAGGGAAATAAAGAACAGGATTTTTGGAAACTTAACAGAAACTATTATACTTTGATATCATGCTTAGTTTAAAGTCTTGTTTGTATATGTTAGATGTATAGTCTTATATATTTTATATAGATTTTGTATCTTGTATAAAGTTTTGCTTTCATTTATTTGAAAGAATTTTATTTGCTGTAAATTCAGAAATTTTTGTGCGCTTTAAATATTTCTATTTTTGAACCATGGACAAAAATGCAAGATTCATTTTTGCAATTTCAGGAAATGGTGCATGCAAACAATACTATCAAAATTAAAATCAGAGTTTTTTTTGTGTGAATTCTATCCAGTCGCAATTTACACAACAATAAAAAGATCGCAAATATTTCTGAAGTTACAGTAATTTTAATTGAAAGAGACACTTTTGTGTTTTTCATTTAACTCTGATTTGGTTTTTATGCTAATACCATGATTACATACCATAAGACAAAAATAACATGTTATTATTTCTAAATGTTTTGCATGAAATTCTTTTTCAGTGCTGCTAAAGCACCTTTCCTGGCAAATTTCAAAGTTCAAAGATGTGGTGTAAATAAATTAGAGGAACTTGGGTTAGGTCACAACATCAATGTTAGTATGGGAAGTGAATATTGGCAGGCTTGTATATTCAAAGTGGGAGATGATATAAGACAGGTGAGTTTGGATAGTTAAGGTTATGTCATGACAGATATATCAGCATTGGTAGGCTTGCATATTTAAAGTATACATGCTATATGTAAATGATGGTAATTTTATTGAACATCAAAAATACTGGACAGCATTAAAATATAACAAGTCACATCGTACCTTATTTCAGGAAATTTTCCTGTGTGTAATATGTTTCACAGTCAACAATTTACCTTCAAATTTAATCTATGCCAACATTTTATCTAAATTCATTTTACAAGGCCATGAGTTCTAAAATTGAACACATAGAAGATGAATATTTCTGCCTCATCTAATGCCCAAACTGCCTCATATTATGTCCAAACTGCTAGCAACACCAGACATGCATACCTGCCAACACTCACGTTTTAAGCGTGAGTCTCTCGCGCAAACGACGAAATTCCGAAAATCTCTCGCTTGCCGGTTAGCTCCCGCCTTTCGGATATTTTGACCTGGAATAACCCGCGTTCGTAATTCTCTGGCTTTTTCATTATTTTTAATAGAAATAAATAAACAACCGGCGATCATTTGAAAACTTTGGTCAGTAGTTTTTATGTTCGATATATAAGTAATCGATATTCAGTTCTGCTATGTCAACTCGAACAAGATAGAGGTCTTTGTCTGGACCCAGCGGCAGTGTAAAAAAGAAAAAAAATATAACTGCAAATCCAAATGTCAAGCAGATTTGAATGAAAGATTTTCAATTTTTACGACCAAGTTCACTTGGCAATGAATCTTTTTGCACATCATGTTCAATCAACTTTTCGATTTCTTCTGGTGGTCTGTACAATGTTTGAAAGCATGCTTAGTGTGAGAATCACAACAAAATCAAAATATGGAATGTTATGAGTTACGAGACTCGGAGGTATTGAAAAAGGCTTAAAAAAACCCACCTTGTATAGATTATAGCCATGAATTGAAGAAATAAAGTATATATATTAACTCTTGTTGGTGTTTTGTAGATGAATATGTAAACAGGTCATATATTTAACTTGAAGATGTCGTCGCTCAAAATCTCCCCCTCAGCTGTCATATCTGAGGTGGGAGATGTCTCTTTTTGAAGGTTTCAGAGGTTGGCAGGTATGGACATGAAAAAAACCTGATATACAGTATAAAGATGTCTCTTATACAGCCAAATTACATGCTGATTCTAAAGTTTGCCATGAAAATGACTGGTTTACTCAATTCTTGTTTATAGTTATGTATGATCCTTTAAGCAATTATATGGTTGGTCATGGTATATATTCCTGAAACTGTGTGTGTGTAAGGAAGGGCCCCGGTATTATCAGAAAGAGACTTTGGTGATCTGGCTTGATCTTTAAAATTAATTTCAAAATGAGAAGATAATAATTAGTATTATTTAATTTGGTGATAAAAGTTAAGTGTGTGTGTGTGTGTGTGTGTTGGAAGAGTTATGCTTGGGTCGCTAAATATATGTATATATTGTATTTCAGGACACTCTAGCTATTCAGTTTATAGATATGTTTAAGAATGTTTTTCAACAATCTGGTCTGGAAATATTCCTGAAACCATACAGAGTGGTGCCTACAGCTCCTGGGGTAAGTATATGTGTTAATAGTGTATGCCCTACCACAAGTTTGACTAAAATGTATATTCTACTTGCTCTTAACCAGATTGGCAATACCTATGACTAGTATGATCCTTTTAGATTGCCTTATTACAATTTTAAGACAACATTTAGATTGTCTGAGAAACCTATACAAATTGATGTTTCATTGCAAAAATCTGATCTATAAGAGTATGATTAAATACATAATAAATGTATCCAAACTCAACTTTGTTGAGTGAATTGCAACATAAGTTTTAGCTTGTATACTTCAAAATGGTTTGCAATATTAGCATAAACCTGAATTATACAGCTTTGGCATTGTTCATAGTGTGTAAAAAAAAAATCTTTGTTCTGAAGATTTAAAATTTAGATTTGAGAAATATAAAATCTGGAGAGTTGAATCGTGTATAACATAAAACAGTTATTGTTTATTAGGGTCACTACACCAGAAAACTACTTGTTTTCATGATAAAATATTGTGTGTACAGGGGCATTTCAAAGTACTTTTCCTGAATTCCATGCATGATAAGAAATCCATTGTTGAGATTCTGAAAATCATAATACAGTTAAAATATGTAGCAAAATCAATTCGGGGAAGTGAAAAGTGATTGTACACAGCAGTGGGTCGCTCAATACAGGTGCATGTTTAGGCAGATTTGACTGTATGTTGATAATACTTTATTGTAGTGTGGTGTTATAGAGGTGGTACCAGATAGTAAGTCACGTGATCAGATTGGTAAAGAAACAGATATCACTTTACACCAGTATTTTATACAGACGTATGGCGAAGAATACTCATTAGAATTCCAAAATGTAAGTCACAGTAGTCCAGTGAGTACCAAAGAAATTAACGTGTAACATCTCAGGTTAGTGCAAATACAAAATATTTGAACATGTATAAATTCAAAGAGGGTCATCAAGAGTACATAGATTCAGGAATGAATGTGAAATAATATATGGAGAGAACACCAAATTGAAGGTAATTTCTAGATTTGATGGTAAATCTGTCTTTTACACAACATACACTGAATTTAGACCTTTCAGCACAAGAACATGTGAAATAACATATATTAGTGAATGTGAGTATAATATCCCTTCAACAAAACAACACAAACGAATGAGCTGAAAGTACATTCTACAAAGTCAACTATGGTTGCTAGCATAACAAGAGACTGAAGCTTATAATGTTACTTCAGACTTAAAGGTCATGGAGTGTCTTCCATTTGTTCATTATGTTACTTAGCTTCATTTGATATTATGTCTGGACTTTTAAAAAATTCAGTTGATCTGTGTACATGATCACATTGGCAGTCATTTCTAGTTTGACTATACCTTTAATATTTATTATATAAAAATTAGAAGATGCAGTATGATTGCATTTAACAAATATCAATGAAAGATCAAAGTATAAGGATGTACACCTACTGAGAATGACTTATTATGAGTGGAGGTATGGTATGCATGGCATTTTGTGTAACTTCTTGTTAATTTTATAATTGAGTATGTCATGTAATAAATTAAACATGTAACAAAAATTATTTCTTTGAACAGGCAAGGCATAATTTTATTGTAAGTATGGCTGGATATAGTATTGTCTCTTACCTACTTCAATTCAAAGATCGACACAATGGAAATCTAATGTTGAACAAGCAGGGTCACATGATACATATAGACTTTGGATTTATGTTTGAGAGTTCTCCTGGAGGAAATCTGGGCTGGGAACCAGATTTAAAGTTAACAGATGAAATGGTTATGATAATGGGAGGTAACATGGAGGCGCCACCTTTCCAGTATTTCTTAGAATTATGTGTGCAGGGATATTTAGCTGTTAGGTGTGTATATTATTTATACTTTATATGTTTCACTAAAATTGGTTTTCAATTAGGTTTTCGTATTCAATGGTTTTTGGAAAATCTATTTCTTTATTTTTATAAATTATTTATGCATTTATAGAGAATCACAATATTTAATTGATGTTCTTGATTATGCAGAATTTATTTACTTTTGTAACAAGTCTGAAAGGTACAAAGTCTGTGTTGAAGACCCAATGGAGGCCTTTGGCTGTTTTCTGCTCTATGGTCAGGTTGTTGTCTCTTTGACACATTTCCAATTTCCATTCTCAATTTTACCATTCCATTCTCAATTTTACACAATATAACATAAAAATCAAACATGTTTTTAAACAATGTTCAGCATTGTTTGTTATTGTTCATGTTGTAATAATTAAAGGGAGACATTATTGCCTTAACAAAATATATTCCTAAATGATATGATAAGACCTGTTTAGGTATTGGCCCTGGGGGTCATGCCCCACTCCTTCATATCATTAATTGTTAAATATCCTAAAAACTGTTTATATCACCAATTATCAAGGACCAAGAGTTTTGTTTTCTAATATCAATGTCAGAAAAATTATATTTTTGCTGGACATTTTTTAGGCTTAAGATATAACAGGTAATTCAAACTATGGAGGCATTTTGAATGATATTTTTTTCAGGTGTGATTGGACTTCCACCTTCTTTTTTTGCCTATAATAGCATAACAACCCTTTTTGTCCAGTGGCATTAATAAGAAAAACAAAATGTTGTAATTCATCATATGAAGTTAACCATTGGACCAGTATACCACCATTTTGAATTGAGGATTTTTTGCTAAATTTTTGCATAATTTAACTATTATTGCATAAAATACTTTGTGAATGACTTTGATTTGACAATTTTCTTTTTTTTTCTAAATAAAAGGAGATATGGGGTATTAGTCAATGAGACAATAATAGAACTACAACAATAGCTGAAAGACATTCAGAGGTTAACACACTGTCTTTAACAATATTAATTCGTATTCTTATAACGAATAACTGTGTTCTGCAGTCTACTTGTAAGATTAACGAATTCCATAGTTACAAAGCAGCATGGGATAATACCCTACTGTGTAGCATGCTTACCCAAATCAGATTGAAAATTCAGTTCAGTTGTGTATATTTTAATTTAGATTATAGAAAATTATTCATAAATGCACAATAAAAAATTCAAAATAAACATATGTTATTTAATTAATTTATTGCAGGCCCTACCATGAAGAAATTGTCTCCCTTGTTTCACTGATGTTAGATACAGGATTACCATGTTTCAGAGGACAGACAATCAAACAACTAAAATATAGACTACAAATAGACAAAAGTGATCGAGAAGCAGCAGCTTTTCTTACGGGGATAATAAAGAAATGTTATTTAAGTTTTAGATCAAAGTCATATGACATGATTCAATGGGTACAGAATCAAATTCCTTATTAATGTACTGTGATAATGTTAAATTCTTTACCTAGAATATTGACAGATATATTAACTTATGTTATGAATATATTGTTTACTTTGACAGAAATTTTAACTAACATTAGAAATATATTGTTTACTTTTACAGAAATTTTAAAAACCTTTAGAAATGTATTGTTTACCTAGATTATTGACAGAAATTTTAACCAATGTTAGAAGTATTGTTTACCTAGAATACTGACCAATTTTAGCTGATGTTAGAAATATGACAGATTTTGGCATGGTCAGATTATTTCTTTCTTCAATTTTATTCTCCAGATAAAGTTATGTTACTTTTGTTTACATCTCCAATAAATTTATTGCTGATGATTTTTTTCTTAATCTTTTGAAACAGCTCAATAATGAATTGTTGCTTTACTTACTTAATAATTTACATGATTCTTTGTTGTCACATGTGTAGGAAAATTGTTATTTCATGTGACTTAAGTTTGTATTTTATTTTTGTTTTTAATGGATAAATCATAAATTATTTTATATTGATTCTTTTGTTGTTATGATCTATGTGTTTCATGTAATTTGTAATGTATTAACTTATTTATTAAAATTATAAGAAATCCATTCTTTAATCCGTTTTCTAGCGGAAACTTGTTTATTTAAGCATGTAAATAATTAATATCTCCAATAAAAGATGGACGAAAGATACCAGAGGGACAGTCAAACTCATAGATCGAAAACAAACTGACAACGCCATGGCCAAAAATAAAAAGACAAACAGACAAATAATAGTACAGATGACACAACATAGAAAACCAAAGACTAAGCAACACGAACCCCACCAAAAACTGGGGGTGATCTCAGGTGCTCCGGAAGGGTAAGCAGATCCTGCTCCACATGTGGCACCTGTCCTGTTGCTTATGTTATTACAAATCCGGTAAATAGTCTAATTCGGTAAGTCACATTCGTGAAAAGGAAGGGTATTGTAGTTACGACATAAGGAACATATCCGATATCATCTGTGAAACGGTTATTCCATAACGGTCAACCAACTCGTGATGGCGTCCGTAAAATTTACGAAGGATGACATGTCATAGTATTAAGGGGAATTGGTTGCCAAGTCTCCTAAATACTTTATCTACAGTGATCACTGGCCTGTAATCAACTCTGAGGTTGTGAGTTTGAACCTCACTAGTGGCAAGGTGCTCAACTTCATTTTTGATTAACAAGAATCACCAGTTTTCCTGTCAAAAGGTACTGGATCAACGTGGGCTTTTTCACTAATAAAACTGCCACAATTATATAGCTCCAAGTGGCACATAACACCAACAAACGATCAATCAAAATCTTTTTTTAAACAATCATTTTGCTGATGTATATAAAACCACTGATTTTTATGCTGTTTTTAAATAACTTACAGGATATTTACATGAATCACATGATGGGTGTCAAAGGAACAGCTAGCCCTTCCAAAACAACTGTGTTCACCCCAGATTTTGTTATGGTTATTTAATCTTTAGGTTTTCTGAATAATTATCTGTGGATTGAATGTGTTTGTTCTTTTTGTTTTTTTTGTTTTCTGTCCATCTTTGACCCATTAATTTTCAAAGACCCTTATGTATATTGTATAACATTTTGTAAAAAAATAGCACATTTTAAAGGCATTCTGGAGTAATGACGTCTAATTTTGGACAAAAAAACGTTACATTAACCGACCTCTCTCAAGGAAATAGCTGTAGTAGGTGTGATGTTGACATGCTATGACACAGGTTATGTTTTTCACTAGAAAGAAACTTTTATCATAACAATCTTCTAGAAATTTGGTAGAAGAAGCTTGTTATTTGTTGCCAATAAGACAGCAAATGAAACGTTTTGCACTCAATATACATGATGTACTAGAAAATTTATATTTTGGGATAAAGAATGATTTGGCCTATATTTTTCTATACCAATCTATTTAATTAAGAATTAAATGTATCTATAAGCCTTATTTGTGTAAAAGCAAAATCTTGCTTGATACATCACAGTCAAAGTGTGTCATCAAACAACAATGATCCAGATGTACGGTATTGGTACAAGCACGCTCTTCGGTTGGGTTAAACCAGTTTTATGTACACATAAACAGTTATAAAAATTGCTTTAAATAAATCTTGGTAATACCATATCAAATCAGGAGCATGGACATCATTTGACAATATTTAAAGAAATAATATCCAAAGTGTTTTGATAAATAAATGAGCTAAAAGGTCACCAGAAGCAAAAGAAAGTGAAATCTTTACAAATCTAGAAATCTGAAAATTCATTTCCAATGTCATCATATTCTGACTCCAAATTGTGCTTCCAACCTACAAAAATACCACCAAATATTTCCACTACCTTAATTCTTATTAGCATACATCAAATGATCAATTGTTTATCATCGTTTTGGTATTTGTTAAGAATGGAATGAACTTTTTTTAGCATTTTTCATGGGGTAGTGGTATATTTTTAAATTGTGAGAAAATTTGAATAGATCTCATCAGACAAAACATATCTGATACAGCCTTGTATATACAGATTCCAGTAAGCCAATGCAAACATATCTGAAGAGAGTAAAATACAAAATCTCAAGAGGAGCAATTCATCTGTTGATCAGATAGTAACATTTTATATGTATGTGACATTACCTGTCATATACTATGGAATAGTCCATTCACAATACACATCATCATCGAAACGTTAGAAATTTAAAAGCCAGTATTTACTTGTTCCCCTTTTTCCCTTTCTTCACTTGTCATGGTAGTTTTATAAGGTACTGTATATTTAAAACAATATGCATGCTCATATAAGCATTGTACTAAATTTTTATACGACCGCAAAAAAATTTTGCAGTCGTATATTGGTATGATGTTGGCGTCGTCGTCGTCGTCGTTGTCGTCGTCGTCGTCGTCGTCTCTGACATTGTACCACAAGGTCCCATATCACAAAGGGAATGCTGGGATTGATTATGGGGGTAATTGACTCAAAATTTTAGGAATAAGGGGCAAAAAACAAGCATTTTTCTAGTTTCATGATAATAACTTGTGTGTAAGTGTATGGATCTTTCTGAAATTGTACTACAAGGTTCCATATCACAAAGGGAAAGCTGAGTTTGGGGGTAATTGCCCGAAACGTTTAGGAATTTGGGGCCAAAAAGGTGCCTAAAAACAAGCATTTTTCTACTTTCCAGACAATAACTTGTGTTCAAGTGTATGGATCTCTCTGAAATTGTACTGCAAGGTACCATACCACAAAGGGAAGGCTTGGATTGAGTTTGAGGGTGATGAATCATTAGGGGGTTCAAAAAATTTTGTGGAAGGATTTTTTTTTTCTTTAAAATTTTCCATTTTAAATTGGTTATTTCTGATTTATATATAAAAGTAAATAATAATGATATGGTTTGAATAGGTAAATTAAATTTTTTAAAGTTCTTAGACCACATTCATTCTGTGTCAGAAACCTATGCTGTGTCAAATATTTAATCACAATCCAAATTCAGTGCTGTATCAAGCTTGAATGTTGTGTCCATACCTGCCCCAACTGTTCAGGGTTCGACCTCTGCGGTCGTATCAAGCTGCGCCCAGCGGAGCATTTTATTCTAATCCGTATTACTTTTAGAAGATAAAGCCTCCTCTTCCTCATCATCGTCATCTGTGAATTTTATCGACGATTACAACTTATGATAAGATTTTCACTAGAACAGCTGCGATTAATGGAGCAGAAATTGTTTACATATCAGTTGCAATTTAAGTCTTTGTAACACATGTGTGATTTATATAATGAGTCAAATAAAATACACTATTGTACATAAAGCATTAAATGTTAAAACATGTATATATGATAATCCTTTCTCAATATTGATGATCAATTGAGTTAATAGTTCAATTAAACTTCTTCGTTCTGAAGTCTGAAAATTGACTTTGTTTTACATTTGTCATTTCGGGTCCTTTTATAGCTGACTATGCGGTATGGGTTTTACTCATTTTTGAAGGCCGTACGGTGACCTATTGCTGTTAATTTCTATGTCATTTGGTCTCTTGTGGAGAGTTGTCTCATTGGCAATCATACCACATCTTCTTATTTCTATATTTGAAATAGATTGTATATTATTGTTTGATAGAAGAAATGTATGATGAACTCTTCAAATATTCATATAATGTAAGCATGCCATACAATGTATTTTAGTATTTCGGATATATTCAGAATATACAAAAAATGACTGGTTCTTACCGCACAAAACATATACCGGTATAATTCCTAAATATAATTTATAATTAATTTAATGCTTTAACAAAGGCATGCAATATACTGGAAATAACAGCCCAACGAGAGCACATGGAGTACAGCTACTATCATCGTGACATCTGCGAATGCGAATTATCAACAGACCTTGATGGTCATGAGCAACACAATACAGGTGCCAATACAGTAGAACGGGACATGTTTACCCTTTCCCAGAATCTGAGATCGTCCTCATATTTTTAGGAGACTCGTCATGTTTTTGTCATAGGTATCTATGCTGCATTTGTATTCTTTTTGTTTCCTTCAAAGTCTTGGTTATTTCTATCTGCCACAATCTTGTCTATCCTTTGTCAAACAACGTACTAAATATAACTTACATTTCTGTATTAGTTCATACATTTGAGTTAGAAATATATAAGTGCCGCTGGTTTAATAATTTCTAGTAGTCTTACGGTTAGACCAGAGTTTTTTCAAACCTATTTAGTATGTTTCCTTATGAGCAGATATTTTTCATTAGAAAAAGAGGCTGATGATTCTAAGGGGAAAATTCAAAGCCCATAATCCTTATGGCCAGATATTTTTCAATAGAAAAAGAGGCGGAGGATGCCAATAGGAAAATTCTAAACTCATAATATGTCGAAAAGAAATTGACAACACCTTGACAAAAAAACTAAAAACAAAGAAAGGACACAAAACACTACACAAAAAACTGAAGACTGAGCAACACGAACCAAATCAAAAACGGGGGTATTTCAGATGCTCCATTAGGCTTCGACGATTAACGTAATTTTAGAGCGTAACACGACGTGATATTTGTTGAGCAGAACAACTGACGCTTTCGGAGTAACTGAGTTCATACCGACATTAATTAAATAGTAATTCATGGCAAATATTAGAAAATAGTAACTTATGACGAACAATAGAAAATGGTAACTCATGGCAAACATAAATCGTTTTTCTGAACACTATGACTTTTTTCTGTCGGTCAAAACTCAACATCATTAATATATGATAGTTACAATCATCGAATTTGAATAATTTTACGAAATGCCTATTGGATTATTCAAAATAAAATATCAAAGTGTTAATCGAGCCTAAAGTTGTTCAATTAGAGAATCAAAAGTTAAAAAGTCACACAGGAATAATGCTGATTTTTTTAAAATCAGACTTGAGTTGCACAGGAACTTTGTTATATTTTGCTGCCGTATGATAATATGATAATATTTCATTATTCAAAATTCCTTTGCTCAAATGATTATATGACAAAACCTTACTTTCTAAAAGGAGATGATACTAGAATCTCTAGAGTCTATGTTTTTTTTGGCTATATCATATAAGATATTATTCTGTATTTTTGAGGAAGGATTAACATACTGCTAATTAAATTTTCCCACGATGACCATATAACAGTTGATCGTACTTCATTCAAATTATTGAAAACAATTAGAACCATTCTCACGATATTTGGTCATATCTCTATTTAACTTCCTTATCGTCCATCATAAACAAACAAAACTTCATATCCGATTGCAACACACTGAAACATAATATCATCCTAAACCATACTGAATAGCCAATTTAATTTCTATTATAATATTTGATGTAAAGAGTATTCGTATTGTGGAACTTCCTTATTAATTCTTTTAATCAAATTAAAAATTTTAAATTTGACAATAAACTTCCGAGTATATATTTAAAATTAAATAAGGAATTTATTTATTGGTCGCTACTCCAAATTTCAAATTTCATTGTAAAAAATCATTGATGTTAAAACAAACAATCTGATTTAAACTACTGATTATATGGCAATAGACCCAAAAGATAGAAAACTTAAAAAGTCATTTGACATATGATGTTTTTAATTGTCTCTCTGTTCTTTTCACAAATTCCATTGGTAACATGCATGCATCATATATTCGCCAAAAACTTTCCCATCAGCTCTACTGACTTCAGTCGATAATTGATGATATTATGTGTTTGTTAAACTCATAAAAAAATTACAGTTAACTCATCAATTGAATTGCATATTTGAGAATGTTTCTTTATGTGTATATCTACGTCCATGTTTAATGATCCTTCTTGTTACGTTATCACATAGAAGTATTGTCACCACTTATCCTCATACGACCGTCTGATAATGTAATGCATAATTTATCGTAGAACTTTTCTTCGGTATTATACGGAGCCTCGGTGTTAGATGGCCAGACTATGCAGACGACCTTATACCAAATTTCCTTCAAGGCCTTTGGAAGTTTATCTTTTTTTATATCATCCATCAGTATTACAATAACCATAGATTCACGACCCTCTCTGAAAGCGTGCATTCTTGTCATTTCTATTTCATACGATCCCCAGCTACTCTCAAGGAAGTCTTTCGTAATGATGAATACAACTTTTCTGCTCGAATTAATAGCTTTAACGATGCACTCAGCAATAGGTACTCCAGCCAAGAAATCCTTATGATGTAAACAGAGCTCGAAACCTTTCGGCTTCAACTTGTCATAAAGGTCTGTAACCCATGTGACGTCTTTATGACTGTATGATATAAACCCATCAAACTCGAACTCATCTGAAAGAGGTTGGTAATGTCGAAGTTTCATTTTAATTCTCAAAAAGAAATACTCAAATGCAAATCGATATCGATAGTATACTATTCCTAAGATGATAGCAAGAATGGTGACAGAAGTAACACTACTTGCCAATGCTACCCAAAATTCCGTTTGACAACTGATTTCATATGTTTTTAGGATTTGCAAGAAATGAGACAAATTGGCAAGAGTCCCATTTTGGAGTACACATTCAGTTTCTGTAAGATCACTTATAATACCCGAATGATGCACCCATTTCATGAAATGTAATGTTTTACAAGAACATTCGATCGGATTTCCACGAAGAGATATACTTGACGGTCGGATTATGTTCAGTTTACCGATATCGTCATTGCTAAGACATGAAAATTTATTTTGCGTCAGGCTGATATGTTTGAATATATTTGGTTTGGACGGAAAGTTTGAAAGCGATTGTAAATTGTTTTTGTCAAAACTGATAGAAATCGGATGTCTAAAAGGGTGATCAAATAAGCCATGCGGAAGTGAATTTATGTTATTTCTTATCAGGTTAATGTGTTGTAGATCTAAGTTCTTCTCAAAAAATTTTGAAGCATTTTGTAAGGAATTCAAACCGATCCCAAGATTAGCATTCTGTGCACCGAGAGTTATCAGTTTCGGAAAATGCGTCAGAAGATGTTCACTCAAAATTGTGCAATTGAATCCTGACATATCGAAAAATTCCAAATGTCCAAGGCCATGGATTGTCCCATTGCACTTATGTAATGTGATGTTTGCCAGGTTCAGAATTTTCAAATGTGAATCGTTGATAACAGTTATATTTGCTATTTTTCTCTTATTCCATGACCTGACTGGCGAGTGCAGGTCCAATTCTTTCAATGTTTTTGGAAGGCAAACAGTGTACGATACATCATCTGTGGAAAATCGTTTATTTCTCCGTTTTCTTACTATCATATGCGGAATTCTTATGATTTTCAGATGCTTAAAGAAACAAAATACAAATAAATATCCAGCTTTCCTGTCGACCATTATGTTATCAGACATTATCAATTCTTCTAAACAGTTCTCCTTTAAAGCGTATCTTTCAAAAGGTCTAAACCTTATCCCAAGTATACTGTCGCCCACCAAAATTAACTTTTGAAGACATATATTTTGAAGTACTTCAAAATGAGGATGATCCATCACAAACCCGTTCCTAATTGGATTGCCTGTGATGGTTAATTCTGTCATATTTCTTCCTTTGAAAACCTTCAAAGAATTAAATATGTTGCTTATAACGTCATCTACAGCGCTTAATATCTGAATATTTATCCTCAACGTCTTTAAGTTCGGAAAAGAATTAAACGTATTAAATGCAAGTGAAGACACCGAATCAAGAAATAATACTTCTATTACTTGACACTTCAAGTTATGAAATGAATGTTCCGAGTATATTTGTCCATGGTGTGCCGAAATTTGAATCTCCTGTAAGTTTGACAATTTACAAAGACATTTATCTATTTGTTGTCTTGTACTCAGATCAATTCTTAACCTGACCAATGAGTTTATGATAGATATTTTGGACTGAAAATTAGAATTTTCATTGTAGTCATAATTATGATTAATTGCTAGTTCCTGAAGAGAAATCAAACCTTTAAAAATATCTACTGGAAGAGAATCTGTAGTTAACCTATTGGTGTTAAGGTCAAGATGAGTGAGCTCGACCAGTCCACCGAATGCATCCCGTTCTATCATCGTCAGATAATTATGGGACAGATCAATGCGTTTTAGTTTTCTGGATTTCTTGAAAGACCACACTGGAACTATTTGTATGAAATTTCGCTGAAGATTTAAATCTGTTGTTGAATTGTGCAAGAAAACGGGCATAGCTTTTAAATTTCCCCAGGATAAATCTATCAAATTGACAATCGTTTCAGTACTTTTACTGCTTGTCACCTCCATTGATCCTGTATGAAAAAAAAACAAAAGTACACACTTATATTACGAGACATAATTCCATGAAGACATACAGGTGTATTTCAATTAGATTTTAAACAATATACAGGAGGAAAGAACGGTGTGGTGTTAGAGAATAAGACATCTTCAAATAATTTGTTTTCCATTCCTTCTTATCATATAATAGTTCTAAAGATAGCGTAACAAATAACTAAAACTATCTACAAGTGTATATTTCAGTATAGCGTGATTAACATCTTGATTGGGGGAATACATTTATTGTATCCGAGGTTGAACAATAATCAAAACTTACTTTAAAATAAGCAAACAAATAATAAAATACATCATACATTTATTGAGAGGATAAATAATGCTTTTCTTTTTACTTACTGTAGAAAAGTTTAAGGTTTTTTCATACTCCTAGTTCACATATTTGTTTTATTACTTTTAAAAGATGTTTTCGTTCGGTAATATCCTGGGTCAGTGTTTCATCGTAACAGTCGAGACAATGATTGGTTAACAGAACTGACTCGCCATTTGAGTCAGCTTCAAACCAATAAACCATCGAAGACTAGATGATGATGAAACGTATGTAAACGTAAATAATATATTTTTTTATGAACATCACAAAACTTAAAATAATTCCCCCTCGATTGCCATTCGTATTAACCCCGTTCTAAATATCGACTTACGTTCACCTATTCCTGTTAAATTTCAAAATGTCCCCCAAGGGACTTATGCCATACATGTAAACATTAAAAGAATGGCAGTAATCCACTTATTTATCAAGCACATTTTACTGAAATAAAAGTTTTTTATGAGTCCATATTTTTTGGGCTAAGCATTAAAAATGTCTGTCACCGTCTTTTAAGAATAGGGCATAAAAAAATAATTTTTCACGTTTTTAACGTTTCTTACCGTACAATTTGAACAATTTATTGAGAAATTAAACAAATTAATACATTCATTTTTACACCAAGCTAATATAAAAAAGAATATGCGGTATGATTGCTAATGAGACAACTCTCCACAAGAGACCAAATGACACAGAAATTAACAACTATAGGTCACCGTACGGCCTTCAACAATGAGCAAAGCCCTTACCGCACAGTCAGCTATAAAAGGCCCTGAAATGACAATGTAAAACAATCCAAACGAGAAAACTAACGGCCTAATTTATGTACAAAAAATTAACGAAAAACAAATATGTAACACATAAACAAACGACAACCACTGAATTACAGGCTCCTGACTTGGGACAGGCACATACATAAATAATGTGGCGGGGTTAAACATGTTAGCTGGATCCCAACCCTCCCCCTAACCTGGGACAGTGGTGTAACAGTACAACATAAGAACAAACTATAAAAATCAGTTGAAAGAGGCTTAACTCATCAGATGGATAAAAATACAAATACTACAAATACAAGTGGACGTGGCCGGGTACTTGTACATCCAAACAACAAAAAGACACTAAGTACAGATCTGAGAGTACTCGCAGATACTGACAGCTAGTTCAAAGCCACTAACAACTAATAAAAAAAATCATGCATCTAAGACTAAATATATAATTGAGTATAGAGAGAAATGTTTTCAACTTACTGTGACTTGACTGTAAGTGTTGCTCTCAACCTATTGCAACTTATTCAAAATTCTGACCAAATTGCAATTTGTTTTATAAAACCAAACTGTTCAACTGGTCAGAAATTTGAACAAACTGCTGTAGAAAACCACAGTCAAGTCGTGAAAGTGCAAGGTGATAAAATAAAGCATACTTACAATCCTATAAGACTTTATATTCAATTTCAATGTTATAATGAAAAATCAGTCTAACAGTTTGTATAGAAATTTTATTGTTATTGTCATTCTAAAGGTAATGGGTAATAATTTTGAATTGCTATAAAAATGTCCAAACTAAACTTTCATACAATTTTTCTTTCGAAAAGTCTTCTATATTCATTAGAATCAGACATCATTTGAACTAAAACATTTTATATTCAGTAAAATATGTGTGAAATTACAATACCTGTTTAGTAAGTTTCCATGGGAGATAACCAATTTTTCTTTCGAAAAGTCTTCTATATTCAAAAGAATAATGTTTTAGGTTATCTCCCATGGAAACTTATTAACAAGTCAGAACTAAACAGCCAAGTCACAGTAAAAGAAGCACAAAAATAAAAAGACATAGAAAACGACTGTCATACAAGTGAGAGGTATAGCTAGCTGTAAAACCAGGTTTGATCCACCATTTTCTACATAAGGAAATGCCTGTACCAAGTCAGGAATATGACGGTTGCTTTCCATTCGTTTGATGTGTTTGAGCTTTTAATTTTTCCACTTTATACAAACCTTTCCGTTTTGGATTTCCCTTGGGGTTCGATATTTTTGTTATTTTACTTTTTGCATATATTTATCAACATTCCACTATCAGAATATGACAACAGACAATAAATGACAAGGTTCCCGACTTGGGACTAGCACATAAACATATGGCGATGTTTAAATAGTTGATGTTTCGTTCTAACCTCTGCTGTAAAGATTTTAGACATAAAAAACAGTTTGGGACAACATGAACATATACAAAAAAATTATTGAAATCTCCGTCATCATCAACATTGAAAAATATATAGAAAAACAAATCGCCCCGAAAAAAAAACCAGTATGTGCATTTGAACTGTTTTAAAAAACACATTACGGTATTATGAATATCATTATCCATCGGTGATTTGAAAAAATAGAAAATTACCATAAAATAGGGAAAATAATGAACGAACTTCTTTATTACTACGAATCACGGCGAATCACACCTGACATTAAAGGCTGCATGACATCATTAAAAAAGTGCAGTAAATTTGACGTTCCCTTACAAAGAATGAAAATTGGTAATAATTATTGAATGCGTTTTGTTATTCCTACGTTGAACATGCTTAAGCAAAATGCAAAATAATTGTTATCATACCGGTAATTCAAATTTCTTTATCATTTTTTTTCACATAGCATAGTATGATACAGTCTGAATCAGCATGCTTTATATTTTAAACACCACTTTGTAGATTTGACATTGTTTGAGAAGTATTGTAAAAAGTTTTACCAACTTGTTTGTAGTTGGATGGATAATCTGTTTCAAATCAAATTTATCTTTTTAGTATAAGTTCCGTAATCATGCTAGAGATAATGACATTCATTTAAGGAAAGCAATGAGTAAAAAGACACTATGATTAATTTAGGTTTGCGCAATGAGTCATTCGGAAATCATGTCATTATTTCAAATAGTTTAATGCATGTAACTCGACTTTGTGGCCTATCATGTTTTTGCAAGACCACGATATTCATTTTTTCAACCCTGACCAGGAATATGGAAATGTTGAAGGCCTAAGTCCCACGCTGTCATTATTCTATTCTCTGTTTTTTGGTCTATGGATATTCATCTCATCAGGATTTATTTCACATCTCCTTATTCTAATAAGGTAATTTAACAAAATATTATCGAATGTGTGTATATTTTATATATTTGTTTCAGCATTTCGTATGCGATGACGGTACCTCACGTTACTATTTATGTGTTGTGTTTTAATTTGTAGCTGAACAGGTTTAACAAATACTTCTCATGAAACAGAAAGAGAAGACACCTTGGAACAGCACCTGACAATTTGAAATTCAAGCTTATGATTGAAAACTCAGATCGAGATAATAAGGTGAGCAATCAAAGATACTGCGGATTACGCATAATTCTAAAGTTTATCAAGCTTTCGTAAATTTTCTGTTCAAATTTTCACACCACATAGACAGTATCAACCTTTGATTTTTTCCACCTTTTATACCACCACTAACGTTTTAAAATTGAAAAATCGTCTGCAAGAAATAATCCACAATGATTTTCATTATAAAACTGGTAGCATACGCTATAATTTTTTTGCTTTGGTCATTTCTGAAGTTGTCAGCTCTTAGACGTTTTCTAAGTAAAATAACAAATATCTTGGCTTCCAGCAGAAGGAAAGATACATTTATTGGCGAAATACTGATCGCTTGCAATATAATTCATGCATTTTATGTTATAAGGATGGAAATAAGAATAACAGTATTTATCGAAATCTTATCTTAGCACAGTTATGATAAAAGCACAATTTTATTTGATTACATTGTTAAAACTACTTACCTAACAGCAGTATATAATGACATATTACCAGAAAAACTTTATACTTTTCCATCATCTAAATACTATTTGACTGTCTTGCGTTCTTCTATTTACATTTCGATGAGACACATGAACAGTTAAATAATTTAAGATAAGGAAAAACCTTTCTGTAAGGAATATACTAACTTCCTAAATCGAATTCCAAAATTGTGAATTTTTGTTTTGTTCTTGATCTACATTCACATATATCGGTTCCCTCATACAATATATGTGCTGTATTTCATATCTGCCTTTTGTTTATTGGTTTTACCTTAAATTAGTCTATTGGTTTCCTCGTTTTGATTGTACCACATTTTGTAACGACGGGGCCTATTATGATTTACGACACTTTTTTGTCGATTTTTTAAAAGCCGTGCGGTGTTCAGTAAGTGCTTAGATTCAAATCCTTTGGTCTCTGGTAGATAGTTGACTTTCTTGCAATCTTACAACATTTCATTATTGTATATTCATAATCAATACACCAATAAAATTGACAAGATCATAGTATAAATGTTT